TTTGTTTATCCATTCTTCAGTTGATGGGCACTTTGGCTGTCTCCCATCTTTTTGCTATTGTAAATAGTGCTGCTATAAACATTGGTGTGCATATATCTTCTCAGGTTGTGGCTCACTTTTCTTGTGGGTAAATACCAAGTAGAGGAATTGCTGGATCATAAGGTATTTTCTATTTTCAACCTTCTGAGGAAACGCCATATTGCTTTCCAGTGAGGTTGGACCATTTTGCAGTCCCACCAGCAATGCAGGAATGTCCCAGTCTCTCCACACCCCCACCAGCATTTATTGTCTTCTCCATTTTTCATCTTTGCTGTTATTGTTGGTGTGAGATGATATCCTTTGATTAATTTTGTACCACAATCCTCCAAAACCTTACATCAATCAGTCCATGTAATTAAAATTAAGCACTTGCATTCTGGGACTTAAAACCTATTTGGTTGTCTCCTGTAGCCAGAGCTGAGTTTGACTATAGAAACGTGGCTCCGAAATATTTTCGCCACCATCCCTCTCTTTATCTAGAGTTAGAAGGCATTATCAAGAAGTCATATTTCTAGTTTGGTCCACTAGGATTTCTTCCTTGAGAGGCAGCTGTGATAACTCTTTCCAGCCAATCCTCAAGTGGCAAGTGACACAAACGCCAATAACCAAGTCATACAGTATGATCAAGGTTCCTAGGTTTGAAGCTTTTGCATTCAAACCAAAAAATATCTTACCAGATAAGGAATCGCCAGGCCTTTAAAATTCTCTGTTAAGAAGCCGAGCACTTGATCCCGCGGCAGAGACTCCACCTCTGGGAGATCTTCAGTAAATATCTGTCAACAAACCACAGCTGTAGCAGCAGGACCACCTGACTACAATACGCCACACGCACGCGCACATCGGCAGGAATCAGAGGAGGACAGACTTGGAGGGAAAAAGGTGTATTAGAAGGCATCCAGATGCAGGCCCTTGTTTTAACACACAGCTAGTTAGTATGTGACCTCTTAGATGCCAGCTCTCTGCACTTCTGTGAGGCTCCTTCCACTAGACCACACTGTCGTCACAAGTTCCCCACTCGACTCCTCCACTCCACCACCACAAGTGGAATCGGGACAAATAGAAATAACCAGATAAACCAGAAGGAGTCTCGTGACCTACCTTCAGGCCATCTTCTGGGAAGTCTCTCAGCACCCACACTGAGTAGGAAAAAATCAAATGCAGGTTTTCTGTGCCTACAGGGAGGAGTGAGACTCGTCAGTGGTTGCAGTCCCCCTGCCCACAGTTCTGAGAACGCAGGCAGGCAGGTCACCCCAGAACTGATTTTCCAGAGAAAACAGCTCAGTGCAAACACCAGTCATTCAGGGTTGTCTGATTCTCTTAGGCTGGCTTCACACCTAGGGTCTGTCACGCTTAGATCACCCCAACTGGGGGGGCAAGGTTGGACGACCGTAAGAGAAAGAGGAGACTGAGTGACCAGGGCCATTTGTCCCGGAGCCTCTCCCACTCCCCTTTCGGAAGCTGGACCTACCCAGATGTTGAAGGTACTGCACTGTCCTCTCGTGGCCTTTCAGAGGGGAGTTGGCTTTCTTGGACTGGTCCACCAGCACCTGCAGAGCTGGTCACAGGACCCAAGAATAAGGTCAGAAGGTACAGCCCCACAGGAGATTTAGCACACCTGAGCAGGCATCCCCTGTCAGCATCCACGAGCCCCTCCCAGGTCTAGGAGCTTCCTCCCCCACATACCTTTCTCGTGAAGGCCCTTCTTCTCGTACAGGATGATCAGTTCACTGTACTTGTGCGCCTTCTTCAGCACATGCTCGCTCTCTTCAATGTGACAGTGATTGTTCTCTAGGCGCAGCAAGGGGGCCACCAGGGCCACGTTTGTCTGCAGAGGAAGTGGGCTATCAGTGGAACCTGGGGAGCCCCACCGGGTCCAACATAGGCTCCTCTGGGCTGAAAGGCCAGAAATGTGACACAAGCCAGAGAAAACAAAAACACCCTCGTCTGGATGATCGAAGTAGTGGCTTTGACAGCATGTTTATGCTCTTTCTCAGAAGGTGGTCTACTTTTTTGAGGGGAGGAGGATATTTTCTTTGAGGAAACTTTCTCCTAGTTCACCTAGCAGCACTGACTCCAATCCTACCAGGAAGAACAACCCCCTGTGAGATTCTGGATCAATGTCTTGCCTTGTCTTCTTAATTCCAAGAAACCCCCAGGCATCAGTCAAGATCTAGGTGGTTTCCTTCATCAAAGATTGCACTCCTCGCCCTAAAAAATAGTGCTGTTTCCCAATGTTCCACAGTTTGAAGGAAATGGGGGATTCTGGGTACTCTGAGTGGACAGAGAACTTACGTGGAGGTAGCACTTGAGGAGGGTGGTGTCAATGATCTGCAACAGCTTCCTCTTGGACTTGATGGTGGGAGTCCCTTCCATGAGTGGGGAGGTGCTAGACTGGTGATCAGAGCCATTCAGCTTCTTTACCAGCTGGCTTCGCTTCTGCAAAGACCAACAATGAGGGCCAAGTGCTGGGCCACTGCAGATTGCGCCACATCATCTCACACCCTGATCTCACATTAGCATTACAATTTTTATCCAGGATCAGAATCGATGACTACGCAACTGCTTTAAAAACAATAATAACAATAACAGTCATTTTTCAAGTCTTGGTGTGGCACTGTAGGATAAGAATTGGACTGATAATCACAAGGTCAGCGGTTCAAATCCATCAGTCAGCTGTTCCCCAGAAACCCTATACTGGGTCGCTATGAATCAGAACCAACTCGACAGCACACAACAAGCACTTCATATACATTATACCATTTTAAACTAAAAACAAACACAGGGGTCATCACTGCATTTGAAAGGTGAAGAGCCCAGATGTACGATACCTCATGAGAAGTAGAGGCAGGTTTCAAACCAGCACCTTTAAAGTCAACTTTACTGAAGTTATAATGTACAGACAATAAAATGTACCCCTTTTAAGTGTATGTTACATGTATTCTGATAGCTGTATACATGCATGTAACCACCACCCTAGTCAAGTAACACAACATTTCTATCACGCTGATCTGTTTTCTATGACTATTAATTAGTTTTTGCCTATTCTAGAATCTCAGAGAAATCATCCAGTTTGTACCCTTCTGTCTCTGGCAAAGACCATGATCTTACATGCTCTGCAATCTTTCTGGCGCAATACCAGTGTTGGCTACCTGCATGTATTCAAATATCAAAGGAGAAGGCTAGGCAAGAGCATGTGCCTAGATTCCTAAAGCTAAGACACAGACCATTAAAGAGGACCTTCTATAAAGCTACAGACTTGGGCGACATTGTGCCCTAAGAACTTTACACTCAGCACATAGCCACACAGTGTACAATAAGGGCAAATCTGTGTGCTCAGCGTGCCCCTGGAGCCCAATGTCAGGCAGTGCCAAGGCTATGCATGCCTGAGCAGACCCGCTGGACACCCACTGACCCAGGAGCAGGTAGGAGGAAACCAGCATTACAATTTCCCCCAACTACTCAATGTCTACCCAGGGCACCTCTGATAAAGGTCTGCAGAACATTTGTAGAGAGAAAAATAAGTAGGTTCTTCAGTTCTGAATGGGTCTATAGGATATAAACAATAGCTTTCTATGACACAGATTAGAGACTAAGAGGCTTCTGTGGCGGTGTTAGTTTTAATTGACTTTAAAATGCCATTATCTGTTCATAATAGTAAATAGAAAAATATTTAAATCTAAACACACCAGCCCCCTCAAGGCATGCTGTAGAAGAATATCACTAACAGGAAAGAAGGGTTATAATATATGGTTACATTTAAGAAGTAAGCTATAAAACAGAATAGTTCAATACCTGTTTGTAATACATAGCTGAATAAAAACATAAAAACAAATTCATAAATACATATAAAAAGGTCTGGAAAGACAACACAAAAATGTTAGTTATCTCTATAACTAGGTGGAAAAGTTATAGCTGATTTGTATTTTCACTTTGTACTTTACTGTATTTTTTGGTTTTGGATAGGGTGGGTGTTTTGTTTCTGTTTTCTTAAGTATGTGGTTTTACAACAAACGTTTGCTTGAAAAACTTACTCTTTTCTAGCAACTAACATTTACCCTCTTTAGTTTTTAAAACAATTCAATAAGAATTCATTAGAAATCAGGTGTTTCCTAGTATCAGGATTGGATTAAAAACCAAACCAAAAAAACCCCTGCTCTGGCAGTACTGTTAAACTGGGAGAAGAAACAGAGATAAACAGTGCCCCACCTCAGTCTTCTAGAGCATTCACATATGGAAAACCTGTGGCATTATAGAAGGTCCTTACTTCCTGACAGAGAGACAACACAAGTAATGAAATTCTCAGGTAAACTCTACTATAAAGCTCTGTGTCATACCTACCTGTGTCAGGTAGTCAATCAGAGCTAAGTGAGCCTTCTCCAGTTCAGCCCCAGAGAGCATGGGCAATGGGTTAGGATACTGCAGCTGCTTCCTGTAGTCGGTGGGCAGAAGGTCTGGGTACAGGCCCATCACATGGGTGGGATCTACATGAAAGGCAAACATGATTCCTCTGGAAAGGAGCCCAGTACTTTAAGGATCAGATAAACGAAAACAAGACTGCTATAATAACAAAACAAGTGCCAGACTGATTTATTTAAAGGAATGACTCTAGGAAAGCTCTGTGAGCTTATGAGTGAATATCTTTTTGTGTGTATATTTTACTGATATGTCAAAAAAATGCTATGACTATATATTCCAAGACACAGACACAAACAGAATTCAAAGTACTGTTTAACTCTTAAAAGTGGAGGAGTAAAATTTTCTAAAGAAAATCTGATAGTTATCAGACTTAACAGCAAAAAATGTATGTACAATAAACAAAACAATACAAAAATCCAGATTAGGGAATATATTTGCAGCATATGTGGCAAGTGGGATAACATGTTTGTTATATAAAGCAAATTTCTACAAACTGGCTAACAAAATATGATTTCACTTGAGCAAAAGACATGACAACTGACAAGAGAACATAAATAAGTAGGAAAATGTTTCACTACATTAACAATCATATCGGTACATGTTTAAAATGTCAAAAAGGTAACATTTTTACACCCATTTCACTAGTGAAAATATCATTTTTCTATGATACTACCCAGTGCTTATGGGAGCGCGGTGGCTCTGTAGGGTATAAACTGGACTGCTAACCCTAAGGTTGGTGATTAGAGTCCACCAGCCGTTCCTCAGGAGAAAGATGAGGCTTTCAGCTCTCCCAAAGATGTGCAGCTTCAGAAACCCTGTACAGGGTTGCTATGAGTTGGAACTGACTTGACAACACTTAACAACAACAAACCCAGTGTTTATAATATTGTGAATCTAATCATAGCCTCACACTGCTAAGACAATAACCGAAGCTACTTCATTACTGAATATAGAAAATGCGTTGCTATTAAGAATGGGCATGAATGCTCGGTGCCTCACACTGATACATAGCTCCCATCCCTCCCTTGAATTAACTCAATTGGGGTATCAGTTGTCAGTGTACTGCCAGCTCTCTAGGAAGAAACTGGAATAGTGGAATTGCTGAAGTAACTTGACCCTTTTCCCATGTACCAACTTTCCCCATTTTTAGAAGTCTGATATCAGTTCTCTCTGTCCCTTCCCTCCTCCCTCCATTCCTACGGCCACACCCACTTGTTACCTGTTCCAAGCTTAGCAAACACCTCCATGGACTCATCAAAGCGCTTCTGACAGAAGAGGTTGAAGGCATATAAGTTCTTGATGTGATGGATCTGTTGCTGCTTTTCACTGTCAGAATCATCTTTCATTTCCTACTCAGAGAAAGAAAGGCAGGGACTTGTTCACTCAACGCACATTTATTCAGCCTTAGGTTAGGCAATAAGGCGCTCTGGTAGCGTAGTGGTTACGAATCGGGCTGCGAACCTTAAGGTCAGCAGTTCGAAACTACCAGCTACTCCGCGGGAGAAAGATCAGGCTTTCTACTCCCGTAAAGATTTACACCCTCGGAAACCCTGTACAGGGTCGCTATGGGTCGAAACCGACTCGACGGCACTTAACAACAACAACAACAGGTTAGGCAATAGGTTGCCAACAAGGTCTGCAGTTCAAACCCACCAGCTACTTGCAGGAGGAAGATGAGGCTGTTTGTTTCCGTAAAGAGGTACAATCTCAAAAACTCTGTATTTGGTTTGGTTATTATAACTGGCATGCATTCTACATTTGACAAACAAGCAAACTTAGAAAGTGAAATGATGGAGCGTCACATAGATACTTTATGGCAGATTCAGATCTTGATTATAAGTCCCCTGATTTTCAGCTCTGTACTGATATTCTTCTAGTCCAAAGTAAGTATGGACATCTAAACCTAGACCGCCTACTTCTGAAAGCCCTGGGAGAGACTCACACCCATACCTCAAGAACTAGACTTACTGCCAGCTGCAGAGCCAATTCAAACTGCTTGTCCTGGAGAAGCTGTTGGATTTGGGTTGCCATGGGGACAGGAATGAGTCTCCAAACAAAATGATTGCTGGCCACATAGATGATGTTTGATCTGCAGGCAGGAGTAAGAGCATTAGCAAATGAGCACAGGTTTTATGGTGACACTCAGGGGACTTCAATGCTTTGGTATAATAGAGCAGCGACAGTAAAGAAAAAACTCCTTACCCTCCCGAAGTAATGAAACGGGGCTTCTGCAATTCAGTGCTCTGTACCAGAAGCCTTGGCTCAAGTGTTCGGATCTCTACATATCGAGGCAACACTGCAATGATGTAGGGAGGCTGGTGCTCTGTGCAAGAAAGAACATATTGAGATGTAGTTCTGGTCTAAAGTTTTAGCTTGTTCATGGAGTGTTTCATATTTCCGTTGTCTGTTCAAAGCTACATTTTTAAATGTGACCCAAAAAAAGCCTGGATCCTACACTGATAAAAACAATTTTTTTTAAAGTTACTTTGCCTGAAGGATGCTAAGAAACTTCTCCTGCACAAAACGGATGCATACTGACCCACTCCTACTGCTTCTGCTAAAGAACTCAGTGTAAGCTTCACTTGCTTCTCTTTTACCTGGAGTAAAGCTACACCAGACAAAGGCCAGCTATAGCTGCCTCTGGCCACCCAACAGCGGGAGGACAAGTGTCCACCACCTCTGCTTGCATTCTCTTATAAAGAGCAAGAGGAAGGCAACTTCTTTTCCCTAAGACTATGCAAAGGGAAAGAGTTCCACAGTTTAGTCAACGTCATCCTGCTTGAGAATCTCACAGGGAAAGGATGCAAAATCCACTTGATGCTTGCTGGTTCCCTGGGCCCTGGTGGTGCCATGAGTTAAACGTCAGATTGCTAACCTAAGCCCAGCGGTTCAAACCCACCAAATGCTCTACGGGAGAAAGATGAGGCTGTCTGCTCCCACAAATATTGTCTCTACCCTAAGGAGTTCCACTGTGTCCTGTAGGATCGCTAGGTGTCAGAATTCACTTGAGGGCAGTGGGTTTGGGATCACAGAAAAGAGATCTGGATAAAATGCTCAGTGTAGCCATTTAGCCATGTCCCACTGGACACCTGCTATGAATCTTCTAGTTTCCTCTATCACATGCACCTAATCAACTATCCATGATTCAGATTTACCCTTATTGAGAAAAGATCCCATTTGAACTCTTGGTTAGACCCTTGCCCTCATTCATTCTTCCTCTAGCTTTTTGAAAGTAACATTAACCATGTCCACTCTTTCTTACTGTACTTTTTGACAGTCATGTTACAATTCAAAGTTTAGAATTCTAACCAAAGAAGAATACCAACACCAAAGTGCTAAAACAGAGCTGACTATTCCATAAAATCCTTCCAAGAAAAGTCTGTCTGTTTGAGAGGTTGTATGGTAAAGGAAAGGGGGCTTGCTGGGCAGTGGTTAAGTGCTTAGCTGCAAATGGAAAGAAAGGTCTGTTTCTAATCCACCAGCCATCTGGTGGGAGAAAAACGTGGCAGTCTGCTCCTACAAAGATTATAGCCTTGGCAAACCTATAGGGCAGCTTGATTCTGTAGCTTTGCTAAGAGATTTAACATAGAGGGAATTCAGAAAATAAGCATCACAAAACAAATCCTTTAAAATGTAAAAACTCTGAATGAAGATGACTTTGGAAACTGTACAATACATAAAATATGAATTCACCAGCTTGAGAACAATGCAAGTATTTTCCTTATCTACACTCCATAGTGATTACAAATCAAGTCGGAACCGACTCCATGGCACACCACCACCACCGCCACCACACTCCATATTACATCCAGAACTAGTCAAGAATGAACCACTAGATGGCAGAATTACCACACAGAAAGTTAATCTCAAAGCGTATGTTCATAAAGTTTCTTGTTGTTGTAAAGTGCCATCGAGTTGGTTCCAACCCATAGTGACCCCAAACAGGGTTTCCAAGGCTGTAAATCTTTACAGGAGCACAAAGCCTCATCTTTCTCCCGTAGAGCAGCTGGTAGTTTCGAACTGCTGACCTTGTAGTTCGCAGCCCGATTTGTAACTACTACGCTACCAGAGGTCCTTAGTGAAGTTAATTTGCTATGAAACTTTTTTCGTAATTATCTATTTTTCTAGTACAAAAGTTTTTCATATTTGCAGTTTACACTCTCAAAAAAATAGTGCAATAACATTTCAAAGCTAGAAAGAAACTGAAAAATCAGGAAGCAGAGGCCTAAGCAGTATTTCCACTCTTTGGGATGCTTTTACTGTTGTTAATTATGTCTTTCATATTATGAAAAAAATTTTTAAATTAAAAGCCTGCTTCATATTGGGATTTTTTTCTTTGGGCTGTCTCATTCTGAAAAGTTAGTATCATTTTCTTTAGTGTTAAATTGCTTAAATATGTAACATTTCTCTTTCAAGTTGGCCCACTTGAAAAAGGTCTAATTTAATTAAGAAGGTAATTTATAATTGTTGTTGTTAAATAGAACCCTCTTTTGACTGTCACATTGTCTCAAATGTCCAGGCTACGTGACTCTGACAATTGAGATGTTCTCTAAATCTCTTTGGCTTAGCAGAGATTTAGGAGTTGTTTAGGAGTTGTACAAGAAAGGTCTGATGGGGATCATAACTTATTTATTCAGCAACATTCTTCTTAATCATTTACTAGAAGGCTGTGATGGTTCATGTATGGCGGTATGTAATAAGAATTCAAAGCACAACAAGACATGCGCGTAGGCCTCAAGGAGCTCTTATGCAAGAGAAGAGACCAACAGTACAGTGCAATTTAGAGTGACAGTGTGGGTGATTGATACCCGAGAGCATTCTGGAGGCACAAAGGGGATGTAACTAATTCTGCCTGAGGGTCACAGACTTCACAGAGGAAGTGCCACTAGGCAGGGCCTTCTCACAGGAGTGGGATGTTAATGGTCAGAGAAGGGAGCAGAGGGCAGCAGCATGTTCAATGGCGGGGTTGGGAAAGCAAACCTGACTGGAGCCAGGGCCACACAGTAAAGGTGAGAGCAGAAAAGGCAATAAAATTACGATGTACACCATTCTAGTGTTAAGTCTTCTGCCTCTCAGATGGTGACTCCCCTCCATCCCCCAAACACACACCTAGAACATGTTCTCCCTCAGAATGTTAAGACACAGAAACATTTTAGAGAAAAAAACTGCTAAAGGTAACTGGGACACTAACAAAGGTTTTTAAACAGAAGGGAATTGTCATACTGAAGAATCAGAAACGTAGTTTAGGTGTGCTGTATGCGTCATTATCTATTCTACTAAAGCTCCTTTTCTGAAGAGACGGAAAACAAGGTCCTTCAAAACGTCATGAAGCCTCCCCTAAAGCTATTAGTCCCTCAAACCTGTTAAGATACAAATCTTGGAACATCCAAAGAATAACCATCCTGGAACACGATACTTTTATCAAGGCAGCCTAACAGAAATCTACAGGCTTCTCAGAGGTCTCCGTGGACCTCCTGACAGGCCTGTTTTGGTCCTCCATGATTCCCACCAGCTGCTTCAGCTAGGTCAGGCTTCTTAATGTCCTCTCAGGAAGCAGCATGTTTTCTGCATTTCCACTCACTGGAGAGCTGTTCTCTCTGCCTAGAATTTGTTGTTATGTGCCGTAGAGCTGGTTCCAGCTCATAGAGACCTTGTCCACGGTTTCCAAGGCTATAAATCTTCATGACAGCAGAACAGAAATCTTTCTCCCGCGGAACAGCTGGTAGTTTCGAACTGTTGACCTTAAGGTTGGCAGCCCGATTCGCAACCACTACACTAGCAGAGAATACGTGGGTGTTTTTCCTCAAGTTCCTCCTCAAAAATTCCTTGCCTGACCTAGTCTGATCTCCCATCCATTCTGAAGCTTCTCCGGACTCCTGAAACAAGGACCTTACCTAAATGGGAACTACTGGAGCTCAGCTTCATCCAATTAACACTAGCTTCTAGAAGTGCCCCGCAGGCACAGTAGGCTAAAGTTTGGACTGCTAACTGACTGACTGGTGGTTCCAATCAAAAGCCGCTCCACGGGAGAGCGGTGAGGCTTCCGTAGTGGTTTACAGCCTCAGAAACTCTTTGGAGCAGTTCTGTCCTACAGGGCTGCTATGAATGAGAGACGACTTGATGGCAGTGGTTTCAGTGGTTTCTTAGTTTGTCTCTTTATTCAATATGTAAACCTTGTCTCCCCAGCTAGAATCCTTAAAGACAGAAAGCATGTCTGTATTCCCAGCTTCACAGCAGTAACTCTCTTAACAATGCTCACTCTCGTGACTGAAAATAAATTACTTCCCGGGCGGTCACAGGTTTCAGGACACGCCGCTGCATAGATTAGGGAAGCTGAGGCGGACACAGGTAGAGAATCACTTTGTGCCTTGGAAGAGAGACTGACACTTGAGTGCAGCTTGCAACCACAACAACAGAAGCAACCATATCAAAACCCTTCATTCTGAGTTATGTGTAAACAGGGATAAACAGGGACTTCCCGCTAATTTCCAAGTGGAGTCCACTTGGCCCAGGACACAATAAAATCATTAAAAAGGTAGAAGAAAAATAAATTTTTAAGAAGTAAAAATATCAGTAAACAGCCACTTCCCAAAAGCAGAGACGACAGGTTTATTGTTGTTACATACCATAGAGTCGGTTCCGACTCATAGCAACCCTGTATAGGGTTCACAAGGAGCAGCTGTGGTTCAAACTGACCTTGCAGTCCAGTGCATTCTCCTGCAGTACCACACCAAGACTCTGCTGAGAGCTTTGTTGTTATGTGCCGTGGAGTCAGTTCGGACTCATAGTGACCCTGCACAAGGTTTCTGAGGCTGCAAATATTTATGGGAACAGAAAGCCTCATCTTTCTCCCACGGAACAGCTGGTAGTTTCGAACTGCTGACCTTAAGGTTCACAGCCCGATTCGTTACCACTACGCTATCAGAGCTCCTTCTGGTAAGTGGTTTAGGAGGCAGTAAATCTAAACCAATGGAGGTAGAACAATATGGGTAGAGACAGTGAGAATGGAGACACAGTGGCATCAATGACATCAGACTATGTAGCAGAAATTGTTAGATGGGTTCATGTTCTGCTGTGCAGGTTTTCACCAATAATAATCATAATAATTTCCTAAAATGGATCATTCTGTTTACATGTTTCCCCTTCTGGGGAAAAAAAAAATGGATTTTCCACAAAAGCCATAACATCCTGTCTACTTAGATAAAGGGGAACTGAGAGGGAATGGCACAACGCAACCCAAGTCTGCTAAGGCTAGTGAATGGGACCTGGTTCTACAAGGGCTCTCTTCAATCCCGACTCAAAGTGGGGAAGAGCAGCACTGCTGGTCCTCACCCATGGCAACTGGTATGTCTGTCCAGTTCAGGGCACATTTCTGGGTGCAAATCCCCTCCTCATCCAGCACCACGGTGAGATCATCTTGACCCACGGCTACTTTTCCATCTGCCACAGGTGCAACTAAGGGCTCCAGCTGTTTTCCTGTTGGAAAGAGTTCTTTGATGGACCCCCTTCCATCCACCTATAGGAAGATACAAAGTGAGTTACTTAGCAGTCCCTGGTCAGAAGCAGGAACACAGCTTGGAAAAAAAGCCAGACAAAACCCAAAACGTAGAGAAGTCAGTAATATTCTTTGTTTGGCACAAGAAAAGATCACAGAGTTTGTTATGACAAACTCTATTATCACAATGTAAAACTAGTTCTCTTTTTCTCTAACACAGAGGAAAACATCTAACCTGGTGATACCAAGTCCCAGCAAGGATGCAAAGCAACTGGAATTCTCAGATGCTGCTAGTGGGAATGCAAAAGGATCCAGCCATTTGCTTGGTGGTTGTTAGTTTCTTATAAAAGTCAAATTATGCAGCTAGCATATGACCCAGCAATAACATCCTTGTCATTTACTCAAGAGAAATTAAAATTTATGCTCACACAAAAACCTGTACATGAATGTTCATAATAACTTTGTTCATAATTGCTAAAAACTGGAAATAACTTTGTCCTTCAACTATGGAATGGATAACCTGTGGTACATCCATACCAGTGAATTCTACTCTATCGACACTCACAAGAACATCGATGAATCTCAGGTGCATTATACTAATGAAAGAAGTCAGACTTAAAAAGTCTACACACTGTTCCATGTAAACTATCACATAATTCACAATAAAACATTAAAAAAAAAGTCTACATACTGTACGATTCTATATAGGTGTCATAGAAAAAGGCAAAACAATAAGAGACAAATAACAGATCACTGGTTACCAGAGTTTGGAGTGTGTGTGTGTTGGGGGGGGGTATTGACCTCAAGGGGGCAGCAGAACAGAACTTTCTGGGTGATGGAACTGTTCTAAATCTTGATTGTGATTGTGCCTATCCAATTCTAGGCATCTGTCAAAACTCACAACTCTATGCCACAAAGAATGAATCTTACTGTAAATAAACTAATAAATAATTATTAAATGTTGTTAAGTACCGTGGTGTCGGTCCCGACTTAGAGACCCTGTACAGGGTAAGGCTGTAAATCTTTATGGGAGCAGAAAGCCTCATCTTTCTCCCACAGAATGGCTGGTAATTTAGAACTGCTGACCTTGAGGTTAGCAACCCGATTTGTTACCCCTACGCTACCAGAGCTCCTTAATTCTTGAATAGTCTGGCCCTAAATCAAGATTTCCTACCCTCAGAAGACTCCAATCTCAAAAAGGCGAAAATAGCATCCCTGGTAGTCAGAGGAGGGAGCCCTACTCCAACTTCTGGCTCAGTTCCCCTCAACCCCTGCCAACTTCTGTCAGCACCTATATGCTTATTTGCTATTCGATCAATCAGCTGTACAGCAGTAACTCCTTTAAGAGTCTAGAACTCCATTGCTGACAAAATTAAGATATTCTAAGAGCATAAACACAGGAAGAAATAGATTAGTTAGGCAAATAATGAAAAGCTTACCCACTCAGGCCAGGAGAATGGGGAGGTGAAAAGAAAGACTTCTAAAATTGCCAAGTCTAGACCGTGAGAAGTGTGATGCTAAGAGATTTAGATTCATCTATAAAATGAACAGTCTATTAAACTATCCTATATATGATACATACATATACATGTGTACATATATATCCTATATATGCATATAGAGTCCTGGTGTGACACTGTGGGCTAAAGCACTGGACTACAAGGCCAGTTTGAACCACTAGGTCGGCGATTCTAATTCACCAGCCATTCGTTGGAAACCCTATACAGGGTCACTGTGAGTTGAGACTAACTTGACAGCAGTTAACAACATACACATATGGAAGAAAAAATGTGCTCTAGTATGCAAATTGCAAAAAATAGCATAATGTCATGGAAAGATATTTACCACTTACATTAAGAAAAAAGCAGGTTATAAAACAATGAGCATTACATGATTTTGTTGTTAATAAGATAGAAGTTCAGATATCAAAAGGTTAACAGTGATTATCTCTGAGCGGGAGAATTATAGATAGTTTGAACTTTATTACCTTATCTCTGTGTGTTCTTAGTTTCTACAGTAAACATATGTAGCTTTTGAAATTTAAAAAAAAAGAAAAGAATTTTTAAAAGCCCACATACTTAATCAGTAGTAAAACTTGTCTATAATTCCTGAGCTCTGAACCTTCAGGCTATCAGTGAAAATTCTGTTCAACAAAACACCCAGTGCTAACTCTGTCCCGGGAATGAGATATACAATCTGAAGAATTCATTATGAAGAGAACTGAGAGTTGACTTTCTGCCTGGCTCAAGTTACACAGACATCTTCGTGGAGAAGCTACAAGAATTTAAAAATGGCTAAAAATACAAACAAACACAAACCCTGTTATGACAAAATCTCTACTTAAGGCAATTTCTTGACCTACAATTCAGAAGCATATAATCATCTCCCCTGAGATAAACTCATAATCGTCTTCCTCAAGGTAAACTGATGATAATGCGCACAATAATCACTTTACCCGTATTAGGTAGTAGTCTCTCTTGAAACCCACACAGATAGAATTTCCACACCATGCCATGGACTTGGGCACATCTGGTACACTAAAGTCCCCCTGAAGAAAGAGAGCAAGAGTTCAATTGAAAAGATACTAAAAGAAAAAAAAAAAATCATGACCATGCCTTTTATTCCACCTCCTTCTATAAAATATCATCCTTACCACAGCATAAGGCTAGACAAACCACCATTCATGAAGAAATAAGCAATATTTGGAAAACTTGAAGATTACTTTGAATTATGTGGCACTGTGGGTTAATGCACCAGACAGCAAAGCTGTTTGAACTGCAAGGTTGGTGGTTCAAGCTCACCAACTGCTCTCGGGAACCCTATGCAGGGTCGCTATGGGTCGGAATCAACTCTACAACACTTAACAACAATCTGGAAATTGTAGAATTGTCTTACTCTTGCCTCTGAGGACCAGAAGACTTAGATATGTGGACATGATGAGCATGCTCTCACATAGTTCCTGCTAGAGTATTATCCATCTGGGGAGGACTACAAGACTGGGCTACTGAACTCAACAGGAAGTCTCTCAAGCTATGGGCGAACGAGAGCAGTAGTTTCCACCCCAACCCATGGGCCAGGTACCTGCAATTCATGAAATTCTCTGTCCTTCCAAAAATAGAGTTGCAGCTTCTTTTTCACTGCCACACACATCCGTAACACCTCCTCACCAGTCTCTGTGTGCTAGAAAGAGACACCCAGAGCATATAATGACTCCACAATTGAATTAAAATTAGAGATGTTCTCCCTTTACATGGCGGCTGATCTGAAAAGTCTCTGCAAACGAAAGTCACACTGTCAGGAACACTGAGCAGAACACCATTCTCAAAGATGTACTTAGCAAGAACTGGCTGAGGACTTCCTCCCCAGGGCTGCCAACATGAGTACATGCTGTGAGCATTCATAATTCTCAGAGGGAAATCTCAGGGCAAGTCTTTACCTACAGAGCTGCATCCTCCTTTTTTTTTTTCTTAACTGTTTCTTGCTCTTGGCTATCAATACATGCTGGACCAGAGGTCAGCATGGGTCAGTGACAGCAGGCTGCTTTCACTCCCTTCAAAAATGCTTAGGTAGACAAGATCTTGATAAAAGAAACATGACGGTTAACCGCAAGGTGGGCGGTTCAAACCCACCAACCACTCCTCAGAAACCCTATACAGGGTCGCTATGAATCAGAACTGACTGGACAGCCCTTGCCAACTACACTTACCTGGAGGTCACAGGTGAACAGGGATGCCCCCTTTGCTTTTGACACCGTAGTGATTTGTTGAAATGTCAATAGGTCATGGACATAAATGTTATTTTCTGTTTGGGAGAAGGTAAATCATCACTATAACTTATCACAACACTCCAGCACAGCCACTTTTAATACACACATAAAATAATTGTAACATCTAGAAGAACTAAATGGCAAATGTTGACTGCAGATGTAACTTCAGTTTCACTAAGTTACTATTCTTTCTAATCTATTACCAGTACAAAAATTTTAAATGGTCACTCAGTTTTCTGAGCTTGAGTATTCTGTTCCTTAACAATGTGGGACAGCTAGAGTAAAACAGCTCTTTTACCTCCAAAGCACTCCTGTACCCCATCCTCTAGTCTGAAAAATTTGTGATGCAATATTTGCACAAAGAATGGCTTTTAAAGATATTCTCTTTAGAAGCCTCTAGTAAGAAAAAAATGGAGCTCTGGTAGCGTAGTGGTTACGAGTTGGGCTGCTAACCTCAAGGTCAGCAGTTCAAAACTACCAGTGGTTCCGCAGGGGAAAGTTTCCAAGGCTTTCTGCTCTCACAAAGATTTACAGCCTCAGAAACCCTATATGGGGTCACTATGCGTCGGAACTGACTCCACGGCACATAACTACCACCACCAGTAAGAAAAAGGAAATCACTGTTGATTTTGTACAAACCCATGGCAAGAATTCCTTTTCTAGTAAAATAAAATCATTTCAGTTAGGCTTCCTGTCTAATCATGAAGACTTAAGTTACTTTAAATGTTCATCTCTGGATCTAAGGAACTAAGTTTAGAAAGTTTCTATAATTTGGGTCTTGGATGGAACAGTACAAAGTATAAGGCAAGTTCCTAGCCCTCTGCTTATCAAGAAAAGGCCTAACTGGATGCCTTCTTGGAAACCATGGCTTTTCAAACAAGGGCCATAACAGCCTGGCCTGGCCTGCCTCTCGCCTGGTATCCCATCACCTCCAACATCTATCCTACATCTGACCATCTCAGAGAGCTTGCCATGCACTGCCAAATCTCAAGGCTTGGCTCAAGCTGTCTCTCTACCTACTTCGCTCTCTTCCTATAGATATTCTAATTATCCACTAAGCAATATGTTGTTATTAAGTGTCATTGAGACGGTTCTGATTCATAGCGACCTGTATAGGGTTTCCAAGGAGCAGCTGGTGGGTTTGAACAGTTAACCTTGTGGTTCACAATTCAGGGCTGATCCTACAGCGCCATGCCAGGAGTCCCTAAGCAATATATTGCTTCCCATTACTAAGATCTCACAATACTTTTTATAGATTTCCATAGTAACTTGATTACTTTTTGTCATTCCCATCTTCATAATCAGAACGTATGCTTCAAAGATAGAAGCCATGTCTCTCATTCAACTAGTATCCCCAGCTCCCAGTCCAGGCTTTGCACCATGTCTAATAAGTGTTTGATAGATTATTGTATGAGTTAGTGAATGAATTAATTCACTGAGACAGTAGATTCCAATGGGGACACTGTTGTCTTTATTACCTGTGTTCCCTGCTGTATCTGGTTTGAACCTAACAGTTCATTGTTAAATAACTATTATCAAATAAACTAGGAAAGGGTTAACTAGAACGCAACTCTTAGTTTTTGATACTAAAAATACAAATGCATCTCCTTTTCTTACCTAATAGGCTGACCAGAATCTTAAACTGGGAAACCACATGGATCTGGAAAATAGCAAATCATTATTCTCAATTAAGCATTTCTACAAAGTTTGACAAAAATTCACTTAACTGGAGTACTAAAAGGGACAAAGGAGTCTGAACCTGTCACAAAGACCTGTCTTATTGTTACATGTAATCACAATCTCTGCTTGTCAAAGAGGATCGATCTCAGGTACACAATTACAGACAGAGGTCCCTGATCAGAAATGGTAGGACAGAAGGCAGAGGACTAGCTTTGAGAGTCTCAGATGAATCAAATATTCTTATAGCAACCACCATCACTGCCTACCTGCTGGATCTTTTTGGAGAAATTCTTATTGGATTTCTCTAGTGTCACTTCAAACCTGTTGCAACCTATGGAAAAGAAATAAACATCGACGGTTCCATGCATATACATATGAAAAGGACAACAACAAAATTGCTACTCTACGTTACACTCCTACATGAATCTGAAAGATTCCTACAGACTAGACGGCAGAGTTCTAAAACAGCCAGCTATCTTGACTAAGAGTACTAAGCATTGTAGCTGTTTTCAACCCTAGTTTGAAAAAAGGGTTTCATGCGCCTTCACTTGGCATCAGCAAAAAAGATCACACCACAGAAGTTAACTGAAGCTGCAAGGTACTTGGGAGTTTAAAGATCTTATCCTTAAAAAAAAAGAAAAAGAAGTACCTTGGCAAAAGTCTCACAAGGAAGAGCGTGAAAAGTAATAATCAGGTGTAAGAACCCAAGCAATGAACCCCAGCCCAAAGCATCCTTAGACGGAGACCAATCAAATCCCAGCAGCTACCCTATTGAGTTGGGAAAGAGCAAACACTCAACACCATCCCCAGAGCTGAAGCAATTTAATGCATCTACACTTACTGCCACTTTCGGGTGATGCTACATCTGCTGGCACTGTTGCAAAAAAGGGTAAAGACGTTATATACCATAAAAACGTGAATCCAGCCTTGTTGGGGCTCACAAAAACAGTCAGCCTCAAAAGGCACCAAGGAGTAAAAAACAGAATCATTTTCTTAACTGTAACAGCCAATATCGCTGTTGTTGTTGTGGTTGTTAAGTGCTATTGAGTCAGTCATGACTCACAGTGGCCCTGTATTGGATTTCTGAGGAGTGTCTGCTGAGTTTGAACTGCCAACCTTGCAGTTCAAACAGCTCTTGTGGTCCAGTGCTTATCCCACAGCGCCACAATGACTAGGTGCCAGGCTCTGGATTAAAAAACGTGTCTGTATTTTTCTGTAACTTTCACAACTACTCTAAGGAATAGATAAATTCCAATTCCATGTTTCTTTGGAAGTACAGGCTTATCTTGTTCATTTTTGAGAAACCAAAACCAAAAAAAAACTCAGTGCCGTGAAGTCAACGACCGTACGGGACAGAGTAGAGCTGGTCCATACAGTGCCAAGGCTATAAATCTTAACGAAGTAGCCTGCCCCATGAAGTGGGCTGGTGGGTTCAAACCACAGACCTGCTGGGTAACAGCTCAGTGCTTAACCACTGCACCACCAGGACTCCTCTTCTTGAGAAAACATATGCCAAATACCCATCTTAAAAAAAACGTAATTTGTCAGTCATTCTTTCAAGTAAAAATGATGTTCCATGAAAACAGTGGCAAGTTCAGCTCATAACATAAGCTGCACAAGTGATGACCACAGTACTTCCTCCCTTTGTACAGAAGTGTTTTATGTGTACTTCCCCTTTATGGGAGATAGTGCAGATCAGAATCCGTGGCCCTAGATTCCAGCTTCCCATATTCTCTTATGCCCATCTCCCCTTCCTCAGGACAATTGAGCTGTATTTTTATCTAGGCTTGGAATATCTCCAGCTTAGAAAGTGAAATGGTTCTAAAGCTGAATCATGGAGGCCCTGGTCTATTTCTAGTCCATAGGAGGCCATGGCTGGTCCAGAGCTGAGCTGTTCTCTAAAGATACAGGAAGGAGTGAAGTTTCTTGAAGTGAGGTTTTAAATCAAACTCAGGGACTGCTATTGTCTACAGTAAAAGCTAGTTCTATTATTTCAATTACCTGTGGGGAAACTGAAGCCCAGAGAGATTAACTTTTGAGAAGTCACAGGATGAACTGACCACAGGGAAACAAAGAGTCACCACCAGTGTTCCAAGCAGATTAACACTAACATTAACAGTTTGAGTCTATATTGTGTTAAAAGACTTCTTTTTATAACTTAGTTTTCAATTCCATACCACTTGCGTGTTATTAACTAGCGTCACTGAGTTGGTTCTGACTCTTAGCGAACCTGTATAGGGTTTCTGAGGCATGGCTGGTGGATCGGAACTGCCAACCTTGCAGTTCAAACCGACCTTGTGGTCCAGTGCTTATCCTATGGCACCACACCAGGACCCCACCACATATATAGAAATAATATAATTAACAAGTCATTCAACTTGTATACTTAGTATGTGATAGAGAATTGATTTTCTATTATTGTTGTATGCCATCGAGTCTGTTCCGACTCACAGTGACCTGCATAGGGTTTCTGAGGAGAGGCTGGTGAGCTGGAACCACCGACCTTGCAGTTCAAACCAACCTTGAAGTTGAGTGCTTATTCTACAGGGCCAAACCAGGACTCCATTATTAAGAGCAAAGAATACAGAATATTACAATCTCTTATCTCCTTGTCCTACACAGTTTCTGAGTCTACAACAGACAGTCAAAAGAGAGTTGAATGCTGAATAAAATGTAAGCTGAGCTTAATTTTTATAGTTTGGGTAGATGTCATAGAATGCAAATATTCTGGGTCTCAGAACTAAAAATTTAAAGTTGGGATTGGCAAGCTACTGCCCATAGGCCAGATCATGCCCTCTGCCAGGTTTCATAAATAAAGTTTTATTAGAACACAGCAAACCCACTCATTTATAGAATGGCTGCTTTCAAACTACAAGGGCAGAGTTTAGTAGCTACAACAAAGATTTGATGGCCCTCAAAGCCTAAAATATTATTTGACTCTTTCCAGAACAAGTTTATGGACCCCTGATTTGAAGGAAAATTTAAACAGAAATAAAATACGGCCTGTTTTGTTCTCTGATTTCTCTTTCCCATCACTATCACTTGACGATGGTATTTTTCCCTACTTCTCCTTTCCCCAAAGTTACCCTTCAATTAATCTCCTCAGGCATTATTAACAAAGGATTGCTAAGGATTCTTGGGCTCTAAGGCCTAACACTCAAACATCAATTTGCTATAAAAAGAGCAAAGAGAGAAAATGAGGTAAAGAGTGTGAGGTTCTTTTAATCTTCCACATAGGATGCGCTTTAATAAAGAGAATACATTTAAAATCCACACTGTATTATTCTACATTACGAGTGATAAAGTTACATTTGACTGGAGCATTAGTTTTTGAAATCCTTTCAGGACTATTATTGCATGTGACCCTTACAACTTTGTGAGACAGACAAGACAGTTTATAGAAGAGGAAACTGACGCTGGGAAGGACCTGCTCACAGTCACATGGCACAGAGGAAGTAAAGCTGGGACACAAGCCCAGGCTCTCTCACTCACAGTCTAGCTCTCTACGTTAACAAGGTCTTTACAGCTTTTCCCACCATTACGCCATTTTCACAGGGATTGTCATCCCATCAGTACTGTTACTTATTATTGGTAGCGATGAGGAAAGGGATGTGCAGTCCCACCTCACAGACAGGGGTAGAAAATGCAGCTTGGGAAAAAGAATCCTTGAGATTCCCACACGTTTCTCCCCAGCTTCCTACTGCTATTCCCACCACAACCACCACCACCACCAATCACTCGTTTAATACTCCAGAAATCACTGACTTCACTCATAGCTGTGTACCAAAACTTTTAAAAGCATGAACAGTAAGCCACTGCCTCCTCAGGTTTGGAAAGTTTGTCACTTACCAACATCCTTTCGAATCCTATAGAGAAGAAGATGTCCTTGCTTGGTTCCCACAAGAAGCCACTCCTCTGGAAAAGAAAATAGCAGTGAGAAAGGCCAATCTGTCCCAACAGAATCTGCTTTCTTTAGCTGGGGCCTGTACTCAGAAATCAATACTTAGGTAGTGCGTAAAGCTGAAAAACATATATATGTTCAAGAAATGTTTGAGAATCAACCTGTCCAAAAAACAGTGTACTGAACAACTAAAAGGCTTCATTTTTTCAAAATTAATTGACTAAAAGATATAAAGACATCTTCACTGTTTACTTCCTATTATTGTTGCTATTATTCTGAAAAGGCAGAAGCTAAAAAGAAAGCCAATGTTGTTGTTGTTACTGTCATTGGTGGTGGTGGTTATATGCCGTGGAGTCGGTTCCATCTCACAGCGACCCGTAAAGGGTTTCCCAGGCTGTAAATCTTTAAGGAAGCAGAAAACCTCATCTTTCTCCTGTGAAACAGTTGGTAGTTTCAAACTTCTGACCCTGAGATTAGCAACCTGATTTGTAACCACTACGCTACTAGAGCTCCTTACCATCACTAGTAGTTGCCATCAATCAATTCCGACTTACGGCAACCAGATGTGTGCAGAGCAGAGCTGTTCCACAAGATTTTCGAGGCTGTGACCTTTCAGAAGCAGACTGCCAGACCTGTCTTCCAAGGCACATCTGGATGGGTTTGAATCACTAATTATTCAGCTATTAGTTGAGTGCTTAACCATTTACATCAGTCCTCATAAAACGAACGGATAGTATAAACATAAAACTAGGTATCAAACCTCAGAAAAAGTAGCTAAAAGGCATGTTGTGAAGATTTAAAGATTTAACTTTAAGGAAAAGAAATGCTGTAACATATTAAGCTTACAGAATTCACTATCTCAAAAGATGGTCAAACAGATAATAACAAATGTTGATAAGAATGTGGAGAAACTGGAACCCGCATACATGGCTGGTAGAAATACAAAACAGTGTAGCCACTTCAGTAAACTTCCTCAAAATGTTAAATAATAAAGTATCACATTAAGTGCACATCAAGTCAGCTTTAACTGATAGTGACCTTATATAGAACAAAACAGAACATTGCCCAGTCCTACACCATCCTCACAATCATTGCTAAGTATGAGCCTCCTGTGTCTTATCCATTTCATTGAGTGTCTCCCTCTTTTTGCTGGCCCTCTACGTTAGCAAGCATGATGTCTTTTCTCAGCAATTGGTCCCTCCTGATGATGTGGCCTAAGACTGCGCCACCCCCAAATGAAGTCAAACGCCTAAGCATCACATTCCATTTTTTGAAAATGTTTACTTGCCAATAACTTTATCAAAAGAGAATCATAACAATTCATTTCACTGAAACTTTTTCTAAAAATGTTTTTAATTGAGAATTTATTTGATCCTCCTTAAACTGTCATTCGGAGGTGCTGAGAAAAATACATTCATTATGTGTAAAAATTATTTGTAATTATTTCTTTTAAAGACTAAAGGAACTACACACATACTTATCTTCAACCCAATCCTCAAACATCTCGGGAAATCCAGTGCATCGTCCAGATGTACTGATGACTCAGAGCCCTGAAGAGGCGGGGTTTGGTTACAGTCAGTGGAGGTTCAGGTGGCCAGAGGACCTGACTCAGGTTGGGCCCTGCATTCTCTATGACATGTCATCATGTACCACAGCTGTGCATACACAACACACAGGATGGCAAGCCTGCACCTCAGGCACAGCACAGGGTGGACTGCCCCCTTCTTGGAGTCAGTATTGCATACCAGAATGCGAAGCACACATAAACACACCAAAGTCAACCCTAAAAAATGCCTGGTGGCCTAACCCTGAGCCATATGGTTGGACTTGATCCCTCAAGGAAAATAAGGCTGGGCCCTTTCGCATAACTACCCTAATGAAGCTCTATCCAAGAGTGCAACACCCTCACATAATAACAGTTACATTCCTGGTCCTATGCCGGCCACTGCAAGCAGTACACAAGTGAATAAAGTACTAGTCACTCTCCTTCTCGGGGTCATAAGGCAAAAAGTGTTTCTCAAGAGACAAACTCCTGATTAGCTGCATCAGAATCACCCGAGTTTATTAAAAAACACATATTCCTGAGGCCTGCTCCAGAGATTCAGATTCACAGTGGTGTGGTGCCCTGAAATCGACATTTCAAATTTGAAATATTTTTCAATTCTGTGAAACATTTATATCATTCCAAGCTAAAACCATGAGAAGTCTCAGTTCCATTCCTTGTTACTCCACCCTGCTACAGGTAATCATTTTAGTGATGATTGGTTTGCCCTTCTTTATGTATAATGGTGCACTGGTAGCGTAGTGGTTACGAATCGGGCTGCGAACCTTAAGGCCAGCAGTTCGAAACTACCAGCCACTCCGCGGAAGAAAGATGAGGCGTTCTGCTCCCGTAAAGATTTACAGCCTCGGAAACCCTGGACAGGGTCGCTATGGGTCGGAACCGACTCGACGACACTTAACAACAACAACATATATAAGGGAGTCCTGGTGTAGCGTTATGGGTTAAGATGCTGGACTACAAAGTCGGTTTGAACCGTAAAGTCAGTAGTTCAAGTGCACCAGCCACTCCTAGGAAATGCTATGCAGGGTCACTATGGGTTGAAACCAACTCGACAGTACTTAACAGCAACTATATATATATAAAGGAGCTCTGGTAGCGTAGTGGTTATGAATTGGGCTGCAAGCCGCAAGGTCAGCAGTTTGAAACTACCAGCTGTTCCGCAGAAAGATGAGGCTTTCTGCTGCTGTAAAGATTTACAGCTTTGAAAACCCCATGTAGGGTCGCTGGGTGTCAAAACTGACTGACTCCACAGGACATAACCAGCACAAGTAAATATGTGTCTATACACACACAGGCTCTGATGTACATTAAAGCTTGGGAACCAGATATGATTTTTGGAATATGTGACTTAGAAAGGTTATCTAAATTCTTTAAGCTACAGGTTCTTCCTCTGTAAAATGGCATGAATGGAATGATTAAGACATTAAAACCCTTAGCACATGGTCAAATACAGACTGGTGCTCAATTAATGAAAGCTATTACTATTAGTAAGGAGCTCTGGTAGTGTAGTGGTCATGAATTGGGCTGCTAGTCTCAGGATCAGCAGTTTGAAATTAGCAGCTGTTCCGCGGGAAAAAGATGAGGCTTTTTATAGCCTCGGAAACCCTGTACAGGGTCACTATGAGTCAGAACCGACTCCTTGGCACGCAACAACAATTACTATTAGCATCATCTTGATTCATTAATTCATTTGTATTCATCAAATAAATATTCAAGAACTATTTGAAACAGTGCAGAAAGAGCAATGTACAAAACAAATTTAGAACTTACACTCTAAGGTGGAGTGAGAGAGACAACTATATAACATAACATCAGGTGGCAATCTGACAAGATAGGACTGGGTAAAGAAATAGAGCACTGGTTGTTGTTGTCATCAAGTTGTCATCAAGTCGTCATCAAGTTGATTCCAACCCATAGCGATCCAGTATAGGGTTTCCAAGGAGCAGATGGTGAGCTTGAACTGCTGACCTTGCAGTTCAAACGGCTTTACAGTCTAGCGTATTAACCCACAGCGCCACACCAGGACTCCAGAGCACTGGTAGATATTGTCTTTTATACAAGGTATGAGTCGGAACCAACTCAGTGGCATTGAACAACAGGGAAGGCCTCACTGATTTAGGTGACATTTCAGCAGAGACCTGAATGAAATGAAGCATAAGCCATGTGTTATCTAGAGCAAGAGCACTCTAGGCAAATGACTCAATGATACAGCAAGTGCACAGGACCTGAGGTAGGCCTGGGCTTCGTGTGTTCATGGAACAACAGGAAAAATGTGTGACTAGTACAAGGGACACAAGTGTAAGAGATAAAGTGAGGACATGACCAGGAGCCAGAACATGCCAAATGCTGTTAGCCATGGCCCAGTCTTTGGAATATATTCTAGTTGTGATGTGAAGCTACTCGAGGGTTTTGAGCAGAAAAGAGATGTGAACACAATGAGGTTTTTCAAAGGATCATTCTATCTCTGGGTAGATAATACAAAAACTGAAAATGGCACAAAAGCTAAGGCAATAGGAGAACGCTACTATACCAGTTCAGATGAGGGTGATCACGGTGCCTTTGTCAAGAGTAATAATAGCGGAGTTGCAAGGGAGTGAGAGATTGGATTCGAGATTTATTCTAGAAGTGGAGCAGATAGCATTTGTTGATGAATTGGTTGTGATGTTTAAGAGAATAAGAAAAATCAAGTGTGATTCTAAGGTTTTTCACCTGAATCCAGTAGTAAATAGGAAAGTTGGGATATAGGGTGCCATAGGACAAGGCAGGTTTGGGGTGCGATCAAGAATTTTGCTTTGGCCATGAAAAGGCAGCTGGATAAACAAGTCTGGACTTCCAAGGGGAATCATCATTATCATCATCACTGTCTGCCTCATTTCCATTTTCCAGAAGATGGTTGATTTGTGATATCTCTAACATGCCTTCCATTTCAAATACTGACTAACCCGGCCTCATTTGGTTTTTGGAGATTCCTGGGTGAACTTGTCACTTAAGGGCACCGTGTAGATAAAACGGGTGAAGACGAGAAATAGAAATATTTAGACAAGAATAAAATAAAAGAGAAATATTTACTGCTGATAAAGACTCAAAATAAAAGTTTCAAGGCTGTTGTTGGGTGCTGCTGAGTCCACTGTGACTCATAAGGACCCCATGTGAAAGCGGAGAACTGTCCCAGAGGGTTTTGTCTGGTGTAATCTTTACAGACGCAGATCACCAGATCAACAAAACAACGCTTGCAGAGCCACTGACTGAGTCCAAACCACCAACTCTTTTGGTTAGCAAACATTAACCATTGTACCATCAGGGCTATGACGTTGTTGTTGTTGTTATGTGCCACTGAGTAGGATCCAACCCATAACAACCCTGTAGAGGGTTTCCTGAGGATCAGCTGGTGAGCTTGAACCACCAACCTTGCAGTTCAAACAGCTTTGCAGTCTGGTGCATTAGCCCACAGCGCCACACCAGGGCTGTGAGGTGTTGTTATTGTTGTTGTTAAGTGCCACTGAGTCGGTTCCTACCCATAGCAACCCTGTATAGGGTTTCCAAGGAGCAGCTAGTGAGCTTGAACCACTGATGTTGCAGTTCAAATGACTTTGCAGTCTGACGCATGTGAGGTAGGAAGCAATAAATGATCTCTTGTAGGCAAAGGGCATGTCTCCTGTTTGGTGGAGAATCAAGGGAAGCTAAAAACTGGCATTTCAAAACTGTCTTCCTGAAAAGCAGATAGATATACAGTTAGTCTTTACTGTGATAAACCAGAACTGCTAAAAAAGGCTCAGAAATATCTACACTAAAGGGCATCAGAATCAAGGTAGTGAGTACGGTAGCAAATCCTCACTAAGTATTTCCTATATACGAGGAGTCTTCATGGAAAAATGGAATTACAAGATACTGGAATTTTTACAAGCTAATTGTGTCTTAAGCAATTACATCAATTATTTTCAGAAGCATGTTATTCTAGGCCCTGGGTTTCCATATGCTCTTGTTGCTTACCGTTGAGTTGATTTTGACTTATTAGGGACCCCATAAGGTTTCCTAGACTTTTTCTCTGTTACTTAGTTTTAAATTTTACTAAGAACATTTAATGATAAAAAAGGGAGATTTTCTTGAGGTGCCTAGATTAAGTAGGAGTCTCTACTTAACCAAAGACTCAAACAACTTTCTGTGGAATGCTGATTTTGAAGAGGTTCAAGGGTACTCAGGAGTCAAAGTGTGATGCTACCAGAAAATCAGCATATTGCTAACCATAAGGGTGGCAGTTAAAACCCACCAGCCGCTCCTAGGAAATAACTCAATGGAACTGAACAACAACAAGGCTGCTGAAGGCAGGAGGGGCAACATTAGCACCAAGACTTACTGAGAAGGAGCCTGATGAAGAGGCCATGAAAAAATTCACAAGAATGAGTGGGTGGGCACAGTCAATACATGATACATAAAATGGCAGCCACTGCCAACATTCCACAAGGACCACGGTGGGTTCCTAGCTCAGTATAAGATCCATTAAGGGTTCTGAGCCTGCTTTTTTAGGGTTGCTGATTTCTGGGCATTAACAAGAAAGACTGAAATGATTTGTTTGGTCTTTGGTGGCTGATTTCAGACATAACCACTCAAAGAGCCCAGTGTTCATAGTTAAGAGTCAAGGTTTGGAGTCTCTGAAACTTTCATTTGTATTCCAGAGCACACAGAAATGTCTGAGTCTGCTTTCTGCACTGGCCAATACCAAAAGGATTATGTAAGCTTTTTTTTATTGGTTAGGTCTCATGACAGTCTGGAATGATGCTCTGAGTTGGGTTACTTGGGAACTTTGAATATGAATGATCAACCACTTGGTAAGTTAGGAGTTTACAGTAAGAGAGTTATCTTACAAGAATCAAAAGTGAACAATGAGCGACCAGTAAGCAGGAAAAAATAAAAGCATTTGATGTTAATTTGCTCAGTGAATAAAAAGGGCCAGTTTTGTGTTTCACCTAGAAAACAACAAACAGTCATCTGGACAAGCCAAAGCGTCCCTGCAGCTTAGAACTTCCCAATGCACTTGTGTCCCTTCAACACTGCACGGAGCGCTGGTGACACGTTCCTAAAATGTCTGGAGCACTGGAGAGTGCCCTAACAATCCCACAGCCCTCGCTGGATACAGCTGGCGGTCCCATCCAGACCTCCCGAATTCCTGGCCCTTTTCACACAACATCCGATCGGAGCCCATATAGCCAGACGCCTGTCCACTTCCCCAACCTTCACGAAAGATCTGGGCCGCTCCCGCGCAGACCCTGCCTCGGCTCCGCGGGCCCCCGCTCACCCCAGGCAGCAAGACAGTCGATCTGCAGAGGCAGCTTTTCTAGAATAGGCACAGGCTCGAAGGCGTCGTGCATGGCGGCGAGGAGAGTCAGCGTCACCGTCGTCTCACCCGAGGGGCGGGCCGAGCCCAGACCCTGGCAAAAGCAGACCCAGATCCGGCCACGGAACCACTTAGCTACAAGACCATCGGCAATAGAGCCATCATCAATCCCGGACTTCCTGCTGGTCTAAACCCGCCCCTTCCGCAGTTAAAGTCCCGCCCCTTCCGCCCTGGCAGTGCTTTCTCGTGTTCAAGGGTGGTGGGTTCTGTCTGTGCTCTAGACCCAGAGTTTTTCCCTCATGGGACCCAGTAGACGTGAACTCAACAAGGAAAGTGACCTTCATCTTAGAACTGCCTTAGACAGCAGAGCATGTGGTTTAAGAATTCGTGCTTTGGCATCAGTCAGGTGTGGGATATAGATCCGTCCTTTAGGAAGTTAGCCCTTTTAAGAAATGTAATCTACCTGCATTGCAAATGAGGGATCCCTAGTGTGGCCATGTCGGATAAGCACTGGACCGCAAGGTCGCTTTGAAGCGCAAAGTCGGGGGTTCAGGCTCACCAGCCACGCCGTGTAAATCCTATACAGAGTCACTATGAGTGGGAACCAACTCCATGGAACCAAAACAACAAAGTACCTAAGATTCAGCAATGCCTGGCACACTTTGAGCTGTTGGCATTGCTACTGTTACCTTAAATACAATGTTCTAGGTGAAATGGTTTACATAGTGAGGTCCTCAGACCATCAGCATCACCTGGGAACTACTTAGAACTGTAATCCTCACTCCAGTCCTAATTAACCAAACTCAGGAGTTAGGATCCAGCAATTTGCTTTAATAAGCCACCACCACCCACCCACCCACCCCACCCCCCAAGCTTGAGAACCACTGTTCTAGGCTGCACTGTTAACATTTGCTGTGGCAGTGTTGAAGTGCCAGAATTGGCTTGAACACATAATGACCCTGTATAAGGGCTTCCCATCTTGTAAATCTTTGCAGGAGCAGAAAGCCTCTTTCTCTGGTAGAGCAGCTGATGGGCTCGAACCTCAGACCTTGTGTTCTGCAGTTCAGTGTTTACCCTACAGTCACTTCTTGACACTCATTGTTTTGTTCGGACTCAGTAACCCTGTATAGGGTTTCTGAGGAGCCACTGGTGAATTTGAAACGCAGACCTTGTGGTTCAAACTGACCTTGTGGTTCAGTGCATTAGCCCACACACTATGAAGAAATTGTTTGGTGAGGTCTGTTCTGCGCATTGTGGGAGTTTTAGCAGCATCCCTGGCCTTGACCCACTAGGATAGAGTGGTACCCTCCAGGAGTTTTGACATCCATCTCTTGATATCAGCAAATTTACCATGGGATGTGTGTGGGGGGGGGAGGGCAAAGTTGAGAACCACTTCTAGGCCAACACTTCTCATACTTTAAAAGTGTACACAAATCACCTGCAGATCTTGTTTTAAAAGCAGACTCTAATTTAGTAGGGCCCTCAATTGAGCATTTCTAATAAGCTGTCAGGTCCCTGGACCATATTTTTAATAGCAAGGGTCTATGTAGCAAGTTATTTAACAATTCTTGGAAGTCAGTAAAATAAACCACCAATTTAACTCTCTCAAATAGTGTCTTCCAACCTTCATATTCCTTTTAGGAAGGTAAGACTTTCCTCCTATTGATCCTGCACTGTCTGAGGTTACCTTAGTATTCTCTGTGGAGACTTGAAAACAAAAATTAATCTGCAAGAATAAACTGTATCTGGTCATTCCCCTGCTCTTCCACACACAAGAAGACATCAGACATGTCTGTTAACAAAGTATGTTTCTGAAAATCAATTGATAAGGTATTTTAAAGGTATTTTTAAGTAGTCTGAAATACAAAAATGCTAAGCAAATCTTGTATTAGGATTAATTTTCACCATATAAACTGATCACCTTCTTGAAAAACTTAAACTACAAGTTGCTGTGCTGGAAGGCGGCCTATTTTTAGTTCCAGTCCAAAGGGCCAAGACCAAAATAAACAATGTATAAACTCCAAGGTCAATGTGAAACTATAAATTCCTTCTGAACCTGTGCCAAGATCCCATCCCAGTTGAACAGAAAGCCCTAAGAGACAGCAGCAAGAATTATCAGACCCCAGCCTACAGAATTTACACTATACATTCCTGTTTAATTAAGGTTTACTTGCTTGTTTTCCCTGGTCTGAAGTCAACATCTAGGCATCCACTAAAATATTTGAACCAGCTATCCTGCAGCAATGTAACTGTAACTCACCTGGTTAGTTTTAGTATTCAAGAACAGAAGTACACATGACAATAACAACCCATGCTAATTGAATAACATTCAAATAGTTCCTCATATTGCTGTGTAGGCGTTTTGTTTTTGTTGTTTTAATCAGCGTTAACAGAGAGCTATAGGAAAATGCTCCATAAATGTTCACACATATTCACTATAGATTAGTGATGATTATGGTCCTTGGATTCCACAGAATACAGGATAGCTAGAATAAATGTCATAGAAGAAAAATTCCGTCAAGGGAGAGTTTGGGAAGGAAAAGAGGTTAAGAGAATAACGTTTAAACAAAATGAGAAGAACATTAATTTTGTTAAAATTTTTTATATTAAAAAAAGTGGCATGAACTTTTTATGTAGAACAAAAATCTTGGGAAGGCAAAATTGGGTAAAACCATTAAAACAGAAATATAGTGCTTCAAATGAATCCCATCACCTTGTGATGCCTCTTATAAAACAGTCTCTAAACCAACACCAGATACAAAAACAGTCAATCCTAACGAATAAGCAGCAGTCCAGGGCCTCCACACCACATCATGCAGGAATAACTGTTTACATTAAACCAGAAGGATCTGTTTCCTATGTAATAAGCTCCCTTGTCTGAAGCATTATAGTTCCTCTGGGTGGAGGCGCATTCACAAGCACTTAATGGAATGTCTCTCTGTATCTAGTGCAACATCCAGTGAATGGCATGAAGGCAAACCAAGCATTGCCTAGAACTCCACAATGCAGCCTGGGGAGGCTTACAAAACAGTAGTTAAAAGTTCCAGAGTGTGCACCACATTGCCAGCAATGGGATGTGTCACAATAGCAGATGTCAAAGAGTTAAGCTAATATTTCTCTCTAAGTTACATCTGAAATAGAAAAATCTTTAATATATACCATTTGTAAACAAAATTGCACTTGATTTTGCTTTTTTAAATGATCAGAATCACACTGTAAGTTTCTCTCTCTCTTTGTTGTTGTTCTTTTAATCACTGATAGAACCATGGCTCTTTAACTCAATAGGGCCCTTTTATTTTCAAAACTATCTCTACAAGATGTAACCTTGACTTCCCAGGAAACTGAAAGATAATTAACAATTTCCCCCCTCACCTATGTAACTCCTTAAATAAATAAAAAGCACAGGCAGTTGTTCCTGGAGATTACATATCATGACCTTGATGTCATAGTCTTTTAGAAGATGTTAAATTTTTTAGTTTGACAGATTAAACAACTGAAACATTACAAAAGGTTCAGGAACAACACATATAAGTTGTATAAACATCCGTGTCAGGGTGTGGGAGGGGAAGGGGCATCAATGTTGAAAATTAGAAACTTGTAGATTTTTCACATCCAATAACTTGTTTTCAGCAAGATTCTCCTTGTTCTGACACCTCTTGCCAGCTCCAATGCACCAAGATCAAGGAACAGATCAGGAAGTTGTTGCATCCTTTAGCCCCACAGAGCAGGAGTAGAAGACTGGCCCAGAAGCTGATCTCTTCCCTGATACTCTCAAACTTCAACTGCAGTTCTTCCTATTCTTTATTCCATCTTGGACCTTTCGAAGTGTGTAATCATTCGCTCCTAGTAGGGGGAAATGTTTCATTTTAAATGAGCTGCAATTTCAAGTTATCGTGTACATCCACTGTCCATACACACATTTTCCACAAGTACTGGTTTATACTAATTAAATACTCGAGGCAAATGATTCCTAAACATCCATAAAGGTTTTGAAACATAAGATCAATGGGATTCCAAACATTAAACCACAAATTAAAAGAAATGGTATATCTTAAGACAATTAAAATGAATAAATATATATCTAATTAAGATAAAGCTTCTTAAAAAATGCTATCTCTTCTAATTCAGGAATTTAACTGAAATAATCAATGATATGGTCAGACATTTAACTACAATTATGTCCACTAAAACACTTAGTATTACAGCAAAGTATTACAAAGAAATAAATGTCCAAAATATAGAGACGAATAAGCTATATTGTTGTGTGTCATCAAGTCAGTTACAACCCTGTATAGAGTTTCTGAGAGCAGCTGGTGGATATGAACTGCTGAACTTGCAAGTTGCCAGTCCCACAGCACCACATTAGGGCTCAAACAAACTACAGTGTATCTTTATAATGAAAGTGGTCCTTTAAATTAATACGTGGAGTCCTGTGGGTTAATGTGCTGGACTGCAAGTTCAGTTTAACCTCAAGGTCAGCAGTTGAAGCTCACCAGCTGCGCTTCCTGGAAACCCTACATAGGGTTGCTATGAGTCGGAACTGATTTACTGGCAATTAACAACAAGAAAACAACTTTGGGCAAGTAGGACATGTACAGATAGACATAAGGAAAGAAAGCGTTCTTGCATTTTAGTATTTCCATTCTTACCCTTCTTCGGCAATACAAATTAGAGGTTTTGGGGACCATTACTGAGTCAAATAAATATAGTCTCTTTGACCAGAGGACTCATAATTTCATATCACCACATCCATAGAGTTTATGCCCACAATTTGATTACTGACCTCATCTGAATCCAGAAGGGCTGGAAGTGCTCTGAAAAGAAATAAAAATGCCAAGTTGAACAATGTACAGTAAAGCAATGTAAAATGGTTCAAAAATGACATTGAGATAATGAATGCAATTTATAACTGTTTTGTAAATAGCTATGATTTACATCTTATCAACTGCACTTGGCAGGGGGAACGGGAGAAGCAAATATAAAAAACAAGAATCAGAGTTACTGGAATTATAGAGAAAAGACAAAACATGGTCTACATTCTAATAGGATTCACGTTTCATTAAAATTATAGCCCTGGAAAAGAACTAAAAAAATCTTAAAAGAATTATCGCATTGGTTTTTGGAAGGTAGCTAAATATTTATATGCAAAAATCCAAATTATTTCTAGTCTTTTTTTGTTTTGTTTTTGTTTTGTATTTCTAGTCTTTTAATAGTTTATGTCTCTTCTACAGTTAATTATAAGTATTTTCACTAAAATAATAAAATTATACTAATTCAGTGAATTCATTTTACATAAAATAGTACTATGAAGGAAGATTCTTATGGTAAGGATTCAGTAACTTACACATCTGTTACAGAAGAAGGAACATTCTCTTCTACCCACTTCAAATCATCTTCCTGCTGGGAACATACACATGTCAGTTGTTATTAAAACGCACCAAATAATAGGTCTCACGAAAAGGATCTAGAGGTTTTTATATCTTTCAATTTACCCTGTTCACTATGATTAATGTAGTGCAATTGCATTGCCAATGAGGCTGCTAACAGATACACAAAATTATTTTAAAAACCATATAACAGAAATATAAAATGACATCCTACATTTTTTAATGTTCTCTTTCACAACAGTCTTTGTTCCTTACAGTGGCAATACATTTTAAAGCCCTTAATGGAAAGTGGATGCACATAATTCTTCAAAAACTGCTGCCTTCAAACCCTTTGTTGTTACTACAAAGCAGACTTTTGGTGATTAATGTGGCTATGACTTCATTGATGAAAACCACTAAAGAGAACCATCAGACTGATCTGGTACTTTTGTAGCACATAGCGGCAAACCACCTTGCTGCCTTAGACAAAACCACTGTTTTAAAAAATATAAAAGTAATGTATCTTAAAAGATTTCCAAATCAACCTAATTGTTTTACATATACACAAAAATCCTACGAGGCTGTTCATAAGTGTTGAATTCCACCAAGGTTAGGGAAAAGGGCAAAGACCAAAGAGAAAATGAAAAGTAGTCATATTTACTGCTTTATTCATTTTACTGTTTCCATTTGGTTCTTGTTTGGAACTTCTCATTTTCATTCCTTCTGTTGTTGTTGGTAAGTTCCATCAAAGAAGAAGAAGAAAAAATCAGATTGGTTAATTACATCAACAGATCATTACAGAATGCAAAATATGAATTCAGAATTTTATTTTACACTTTCTGACACTAGATCAAACAACAGATGTTTCTACATCTTTGAATTTATACTGGAAAGCTCAAAGTCAAATTTTCAGACTCTAGAAAATAAAATGGATCCTGCTTCGTGGTGGTGGTTACCTGCCTTAGAGTTGAGGGCCCCCAACTCAGTGAAACTCCATACATGATCAAACCACTGTCATGCATAGGGTTTACATTGGCTGAATTTTGAAGGGAGATCATCAGGCAATTCTGTGCAAGCTCTGCTGAAACCTGTAGCAGCATGCAAGTTACCACAGCAGGTAGCAGCTGTGCAGAAGGAGCGCTGGGAAACAAGCACTCATCTTCTGCATGGGAGGTAAGCGTCCCACCACTGAGCCATCACCATGCCCTCAACTGAACTGTAATGCGCATTTAGTACTGAACTTACCCTGCCATCATCAAGATTCACACCCTCAATCCCTCACCTAGCATTGGTGACGGTTATGTCGTGGGATCGGTTCAAACTCATAGTGACTCTGTAAATCTTTACGGGAGCACAAAGTCTCCATTTTCTCCCGCAGAACAGCTGGTAGTTTCAAACTGCTGAACTTGCGGTCTGCAGCCTGACTAGTAACCACTATGCTACCAGAGCTCCTTTCACCAAGCTTTACTAAGTTCCATATGTATGGTTATAAAAACTACAAAGATTCCAGATTTTGATCTACAAATTTTATACTTACTTTACTATATTTCTAAAAACCAAAAAGAAAATTTAAAGTAAAAATAGAAGGTAAATTTTATCACTACCAAAACTTTCTTTCAGCATAGGTTCCTTTTGTTCATCTTCTTCTTCTTCCTCAGACAATGGTGAAAAGGCAAACCTGACAAAGAAAAAATGAAAAATTATAAAAACTGTTCTACCCTTTGAATTTTACAGGAATAATTTCTGAAAACTGCAATTACAGTCATTCATAAAATCAGCTAACTGAATAATGAAAATTTCATCCCCTCTAGAAAGCTCTCAACTGCCTAATTTACAACACATCATGTTTATGAGTTCAAGCTTTGCCAAATATTACCTGTGACCTCACACAAGTTATTTAATCTCTCTGTGCCCCAGTTTCCCCATCTGTAAATGGGGATAATAAAAAGAACATTTCTAATATGTTTTATAAATATTAAGTTATTACAAATAAAGTGCATAGTAAACATTTAACAAACATTCACTTATAAAGATATGTATCACATAGATACAAATAAATTCTTACGTAAATTAAAATTTGTCTTCAAATAAAGAGTTAAGAAGATAGAGGTCTGATTTTGTGTTTTCTAGTAATTTAACCACTACTCGTCTGTCAGTATCTCATACTGTGGTGGCTTGTGAGTTGCTGTGATTCTGAAAGCTATGCCACTGGTATTTTATATATCAACAGGGTCATCCATGGTGGACAGGTTTCAGATCAGCTTCCAGATGAAGACAAACTAGAAAGAAAGAGTGATGACCTACTTCCGATCATTTAGTCACTGAAAACCTTATGAATGGCAGAGAAACACTGACAGATACAGTGCTGGAAAATGAGCCCCTCAGGTTGAAAGGCACTCAAAATGCAACTGGGGAAGAGCTGCCTCCTCAAATTAGAGTTGACCGTGATAATGTGAATGGAATAAAGCCTGCAGGACATTCATTGGCACAACTCAAATGAAGAGAAACAGCTGTAAATATCCACTGAAAAGTGGAACATGGAATGTACGAAGTATGAATCTGGGAAAACTGAAGTTGTCAAAAGTGAAATGGAATGAATAAACATCGATATGTAAAGTATTAGTGAGCTGAAATGGACTGGTATTGGCCACTTTGAATCTGATGACCACATGGTTTACTATACTGGAAATGAAAAGTAAAGAGGAATGAATGGTGTTGCATTCATTGTCAAAAAGAACATATCCAGAACATCGCTGCCTGTGATAGGATAATATTCATGCATCTACAGGGAAGGAGCTCTGGTAGTGTAGTGGTTACAAATCAGGCTGTGAACCGCAAGGTCAGCAGTTCCAAACTACCAGCTGCTCCATGGGAGAAAGAGGAGGCTTGCTGTTCCAGTAAAGATTTACAGCCTCGGAAACCCTTGATCAGGGTCGCTATGAGTTGGAACCGACTCGAAAGCACTTACAACAACAACAACAGGGAAGCCCAGTTAATACCACTATTATTCAAATTTACGAACCAACCACTAAAGCCAGTGAGGATAAAATAGAAGAATTCTACCAACTTCTTCAATCTGAAATTGATCAAACATGTAATCAGGATGTATTGATCATTACTGGTGATCAGAATGCAAAAGTTGGGAACAAAGAAGAAGGATCAGTAGTTGGAAAATATGGCCCTGGTGATAGAAATGATGCTGGAGAACGCATGATAGAATTCTGCAAAATCAATGACTTGGCCATTTCAAATACCTTCTTTAGACAGCATTAACAGACAACTATACACATGGAACTCACCAGATGGAATACATAGAAATCAAATTGACTACATCTGCAGAAAGAGATGATGAAAAAGCTCCATATCATCAGTCAAAACAAGGATAGGGGCAGACTGTGGAACAGACCATCAATTACTCATATGCAAATTCAAACTGAAGCTGAACAAAATGAAAACAAGTCCACGAGAGCCAAAATATGACCTTGAATATATCCCACCTGAATTTAGAGATCATCTGAAGAACAGATTTGATGCATTAAACACTAAAGACCGAAGACCAGAAGAGCTGTGGGATGACATCAAGAACATCATACATGAAGAAAGCAAAAAGTCATTGAGAAGACAAGAAAGAAGGAAAAGATCAAAATGAATGTCAGAAGATACTGAAACTTGCTCACCAGTGTAGAGATGCTAAAGCAAATGGAAGAAATGAGGTCCAAGAGCTGAAGAGAAAATTTCAAAGATCAGCTGGAGAAGATAAAGCCAAATATTACAAAAAAAAATGTGCAAAGATCTAGAATCAGAAAACCAAAAATGAGGAACACACTCAGCATTTCTCAAGCTGAGGGATCTGAAGAAAAAATTCAAGCCTCGACTTTTGTTATTGAAAGAATCTCTGGGCAAATTGTTGAATGATGCAGGAAGCCTCAAGAGAAGATGGAAGGAATACACAGAGTCACTGTACCAAAAGGAAATAGTTAATGTTCTGCCGTTGCAAGAGGTATGATCAAGAGCCAATGATACTGAAGGAGAAAGTCCAAGGTGCACTGAAGGAATTGGCAAAGAACAAGGCACCAAGAATTGATGGAATACAACTTGAAATCTTTCAATAAAGTGAGGCGGCAAAGGAGGCACTCACTTATCTCTGCCAAGAAATTTGGAAGACAACTATCTGGCCAACTGATTGGAAGAAATCTGTATTTGTGCCCATTCCAAAGAGAGGTGACCCAATGGAATGCAGAAACCACTGGACAAACTCTTTGATATCCCATGTGAGTAAAGTTTTACCAAAGGCAATACAGAAACGGCTGCAAGCATACACTGATAGAGAACTTCCAGAGGTTCAAGCAGGATTCAGAAGAGGTCGTGGAACGAGGGATATCATTGCGGATGTCCAATGGATGTTGGCTTAAAGCAGAAAATATCAGAAAGATGTTTACCTGTGCTTTACTGACTACGCAAAGACTTTCAATTGTGTGAATCATGACAAGCTATGGACAACATTGTGAAGTATGCGTATTCCGGAACAACCAAGAGGCAGTTGTTTGAACAGAGCATGGGAACACTGAATGGTTTAAAATTAAGCAAGGTGTGCGACAAGGTGGTATTCTTTCACCATACTTATTCAATCTGTATGCTGAGCAAATAATCCGAGAAGCTGGGTTATATGAAGAAAAATGTGGCATCAGGATTGGAGGAAGACTCATTAACAACCTGCGATATGCAGATGATACAACCTTGCTTGCTGAAAGTGAAGAGGACTTAAAACACTTACTGATGAAGATCAAAGAGCACAGCTTTCAGTATGGATTGCATCTCAAAGTAAAGAAAACAAAAATCCTCACCACTGGACCAATAAACAACATTCTTGTCAACGGAGAAAAGAATGAGGTTGTCAAGATCTGCATTCTTCTTGGATCAACTATGAACACTCACAGAAGCAGCAGTCAAGAAATCAAATGGCATATTGCATTAGGCAAATCTGCTGCACAAGACCTTTTTAAAGTGTTGAAGAGCAAATATGTCAGCCTGAGGTCTAAGGTACGCCTGCCCCAAGCCATGGTATTTTCAATAACCTCATATGCATATGAAAGCTGGACACTGAATAAGGAAGACCATAGAAGAATTGATGCTTTTGAGTTATGGTGCTGGAGGAGAATATTGACAGTGTCATGGGCTACCAAAAGAACCAATAGATCTGGTTTGGAAGAAGTGCAGCCAGAGTGCTTCTTGGAGGCCAAGATAGCCAAACTTTGTGTCTCATACTTCGGACATATTGTTAGGATGGACCAGTCTCTGGAGAAGGACATCATGTTTGGTTAGGTGGAGAGTCAAGAGAAAAAGAGGAAGACCCCCAACAAGATGGATTGGCCAAGTGGCAGCATTGAAGGACTCAAGTTTGGCAACAGTAGTGAGGCTGGCCCAGGATTAGGCAGTGTTTCGCTCTGCTGTGCATAAGGTCGCCATGAGTCCGTACCAACTATAGTGACCCTGTATAGGGCTTCTGAGGCTGTAACTCTTTATTGGAGCAAAAAGCTTTCACGACGCACCAGGTAGATTCCAGCCGTTGACAAGCTAGGCTACTAACCTCAAAGTCAATGGCTGGAATCTACCCACTGCTCTGTGAGAGCTTTCTGCTCCAATAAAGATTTACAGCCTCGGGAGCCCTATACAGGGTCACTGTGAGTCAAAAGCATACAATCACCATCACCACCACAGTCCTAGTGTGGTCTTGTAGGGTAAGCACTGGACTACTAATCGCAAGGTCAGCAGTTCAAACTCACCAGCTGCTCCTCAGAAACCCTATAAAGGATCGCTTTGAGTCCAAACCAACTCAATGGCACTTAACAACAACATAATTTGACAAATCAAATTCATGTGTGGATTTTACATCCAAATTCTAAGAAAGTCATATAAGTTCTCATTTTATCATTACAAAATTAAACTGGGCTGCTAACTATAGAAACTGTTCTATTTATCCAGACACTAGACAGCAGAGACTTGTTACAAGTGAATCTATGGCCCTCCCTTATTTAACCACATGAATAACCTAATATTTTCCAAAGATGTAAAGCTGAAAGGGATCTCATATTAACTGGTCTAATTCCTTTGAATACATGAAAAGGAAACTAAGCCCCAGAGAGGTGAAAGAAGCAGCATGTCAAACATCACACAGCAAGTCAGTAGCAGGGCTGGGACAAGACCCCAATTCTCCTGACTTCAGACCCAGTGTTTCCTCCATTTTATGACATGATCCTGATACTGTCCTCCAACGTGCTACCATTTATTGATGGCATGGCCATCCAATGGTCAGCTGAGTAAAAAAGAAGAGTCTACGAACCTCTGGTTGTTTGCAGATGGTCGCCACAGAACCATGATGACAAAGAGGATCATGGAGAACAGTAACCGCCAGATGGCATCATCGACCCACAGTTCCCGCCAGTCCTATCAAAAGGGAAAAGCACACCATTTATATATAATTATCCTGATTCTATGGACACAAAGCCCTTGTCACAGCACATTAACACTTATTCATTTAGTGTATAGTCACTAAGATCCTGCTGTGTGCTAGATATGATACTAAGTGCCGGAGATATAAACTGAATAGTTTTTTCACTGTAGTGGTTACTGTTGCTAAAGAAAAGAGACACCAGTAGGACAGAGCACTTGCCAAAGCTTCATTATAGCTCCAAGAATCGTAGAGAAGGGTGTTTAGACAGTGCATGAGACAGTAACATTAGGTTGTTTACTTTTCATTTTATTTATTTTCATCCAAATAGAGTCTTAGCTGCCTCCAAAGAAATGCTATATTATCTTAACCTGACTGGTCAGTCTTTGTGCTTCCCCTCAGATTACCATTATTCATGTATATTTAATATTCGGTACTCTGGATTTCTTGTTTAAGAAATTTTAGTTTAGGGTAAATTTATGACAGACTATTGTCATCACTTAGAGAACTCTTGGTATACAAAGTCAGATTACAAAACAATGATTTTAACACCAAGACCAATGATGGGCTAGAGTACCTGAGATAGCACATAAGGAGGGAAGCTAACTTACAGAGTAGAGGCCCAGCCCGAATTTCTCGGAAGGCACATAGTTATAAGAACCTAACCATTGTTACTAAAATCATCTTCAGTGTATAAGATAGTTTACTACGCATAAATGCAAAAGCTTATAACTTACCGACTGGCAAGTCACTATCCTGAACTTCATGGTTGTCCAGATGATAAACACAATAGATGCTAATAGGAAATTTAAAAACTTGGTCAGAATATGAATGTTGATTCCCTTCCTCCCCACACCCAATTATATTCCCTAATTCTAGTTAGGTAGAAATCCACATACTCGCAACCCCCAATACATGAAAGACACTCTCATCATTTTAATAAATGTGTTCAATTGAACACCTCCCAAAAGCAAGGCTCCTGCTACATACTGAAATGTTAATTAAAAAAAAAAAAAAAAAAGGAATCAGCTGTGTTATTAAAACATATGCATTGGAAATATGTCTCTTTCCAGAATAATCAGTAATATAAAATGCAATGTTGTTGTTAAGTGCTGTCAAGTTAGTTTTGACTCATATAACCCTGCATAGCGTTTCCGAGGAGCAGCTGGCAGGTTTGAACCGCCAACCTTACAGTTAGCAGTCCAGTGCTTATCCTACAGTGCCACACCAGGACTCTTAAAATTCAATGACAATCTAAAAAAAAGACAGAAAATAAATACTTGAAAAGCTAAGGCTCTCTTGTTACGCATCCGTTGCTTTGGGTTTTTTCCTTCCTTTATCATATAGTTATGATCATTTATTTTTGGCTGGTTAAGAATAAGCAAATTGAAAAAATGCAATGCAAACAGAAGAGATGGTTCTAATCGTAGGCCAGGCTTTATTTTTCCTGGTACAAAGGTCAAGAGGCAGGCAAGTTAATCTAGTTTGGTACAGTCCATCCAATGTCTGTATGTCATTCATCTTTAGTGGCATATATAAAAACTACACAGTAGCAATGTACTCTTATCTTAAATTCTATGTTGTTGTTAAGTGTCGTCGAGTTGGATCTAACTCATAGCAACCCTGTATGGGATTTCTGAGGAGCAACTGTTGAGTTAGAACCACCGATCTTGCAGTTCAAACCAACCTTGCGGTCCAGTGCATTACCCTGCAGCACCACACCAGGACTACACATACTTAATAAAACCAAATAAGCAAGTGTTAATGACTTCTAGAAAAGATTCCAACTGCTATTTGACATTCAACTTGTCTCAAGAAAATAATGGAGCCAGGAAAGGGAGACACAAGAGTTGAAATTAGATGAGGTGAATTTTCAGTCACTGCAACTTCAAATAAGGAGTTCTGGTAGCGCAGTGGTTACGAATCAGGCTGTGAACCGCAAGGTCAGCAGTTCGAAACTACCAGCTGTTACGTGGGAGAAAGATGAAGCTTTCTGCTCCCATAAAGATTTACAGCCTCGGAAACCCTGTTCAGGGTCGCTGTGGGTCGGAACCGACTCGACGGCACTTAACAACAACAACAACTTCAAATAGTCCTAGTGTGTGGCAGTGTAGGATAAGCACTGGAATGCTAATTGCATGGTCAGCAGCTAAAACCCACCAGTCACTCCTCGGAAACCCTCTACAGAGTCACTATGAGTCAGAACCAACTCGATAGCACTTAACAACAACAAACTGCAAGTAAGTGGTTAATCTTTTTTTGAACCATAGGCCTCTTTGAGAATTTGACAAAAGCTAATGATCCTTTCACAGGTGAAATGCACAAAACTTAATATGCAATGTTGGAAGCCCACCCCTGGAGTCTTCTCATTTAAACAGAAGAAAGGTCTTGACTTACCTGCCACAGCCAAGATAAGCGTGTTGGTGAAATGTCGGTACAAAGAAAGTTTGACAATGTTCCTCCGAAGTTTTAACAGCTTCATTGTTTGAGTCAGGCTAATAAATATGTGTTTGCAGGTCAAGGAAATTAACATCCAGAGAAATAATAAGCAAGTGGATTAATCCTCAGCTCTTTTTGAGGATCTGGGTTCCTAAGGGATAGAACTAAGGATCCCAGAAGCTTTATAGCAGTCTTACTCTCACTTTATTTTACAAATGCCCCCATACCTCACCAAGATTAATAGGGAAGTTGCTATATTCAATGACACACTGACAAAAAGAAAATAAGAATGCAAAAAATAAGATAACAAATGAAAAATATTTTGTAAAGAAGAAAATACATAAAGACAAAACAAAAAAGATTTAAGAAAGGTGACATTAAAATGAGTAACCGACAAGGAACAATAAATTAACATCATCGTCTCTCTTCCTTTAAGGTGGATGGTTCTGTTCTCATCGGTCCCATCTAACCAAGTCTAATGCCATAATTAAGGAGCTCTGGTAGTGTAGTGCTTGCAAGTTGGGCTACTAATCTCAAGGTCAGTAGTCTGAAACTACCAGTGGTTCCATGGGAGAAAGATGAGGCTTTCTGCTCCCGTAAAGATTTACAGCCTCAGAAACCCTATACAGGGTTGCTATGACTAGGAACATACTCCCTGGCACATAACCAACCAAACCAATCAAAACCATAATTACATTCCTGCCTACAATCTCCAGAGTTCTATACTCAGTCCTCTAGTGCCATATAAGAAATATGCCACCAGCTGCCTATGCTATCATGAATTAAGAGAACAATACGCTCAGCTGTGGAGAGCTGGTGTGGTGCTGTAGGATAAAACACGTGACCGCAAGGTCGTGGTTCAAATCCATCGACTGTTTCTCAGAAACCCTATACAAGGTTGCTAAGAGTCAGAACCAACTCAACGGTACTTAACAACAACACACTCACCTGTGGTACTGTAGGATCAGGACTGGGTGACAAGGTCGGTTTGAACTGTAAGGTCAGTGGTTCAAACCCACCTGCGGCTCCTTGGAAACCCTACACAAGGTTGCTGTGAGTCAGAATAACTCAACTGCACTTAATAAAAACAACAACTCAGCTGAGAATCCCTGGTCATTAAGCTCCAAAGGCAACGACTCTACATTTTCTGAACATTATTCCCAAGGAGAAGTTGCCAGAGAAAGAGAAAAGGGGAGCTGAAAACAACGAAAGAGGATCTCTGTTCTCATGCCCAACTTTCAGGATGAAAAACAGATTTTCAGGATGAAAATAAGGGAGTTGACTTTTGCTGTGCCCTGGACAAAGCCTTGGCTGCTTCCTAGTCAATGGATTATCTTACTGAATGACCAGTCCCACATCCCTCTCTCCACTCCTTTCAAGATTCTCAGAGGTTCACAAAGCACACTATAAAAGATAATGACCTAGAAAGCTTTGGCCATTTGGACTCGTGATACTTCAATTTCAAACATTTTGATAAATGGCAATCCACTCAAATTCACAAAATTATACAATTTGGTTCATAGTCAGCTTTCTGGAACAATAATAGACTATCAAGACAGAAATACTGCACAATTTTACATAGGACCAAACAAATGCACAAAATCAAAACAAAGTCAAAATGATCTTTAGAAAGAGTAAGTTCAAACACTTTAATCTTTCACCTAACGGGCCAAATCCCTAATGAACAAAATTTTACTTTTAAGAAGCAGGAGAAAATTAATAAAATTTATTATCTGCTGGTTGACTTTGCAAATGAATCAATGTTTATTTCAAAAGATAGAAAGGTCTTCACATAATCTCCTATCAGCTTTTGAATGAAGAAATAAAACCCTCACTTATAGAAGGGTTAAAACCTGTTAAACCTAATAGACTTTTATTTAGAAGAGTTAAGCAATCTACCATAACTCCTGAATCCAACTTTAAAGAATCAAAACCTCTTCATAATTTTTACAGCATTTAATAATTGCTATGGTTACGAATCGAGCTGCTAGTCTCAAGGTCAGCAGTTCGAAACTACCAGCTGTTCTGCAGGAGGAAGATGAGGCTTTCTTCTCCTGTAAAGGTTTACAGCCTTGGAAACCCTGTACAGGGTTCGCTATGAGTTGGAACTGACTCCACGGCACATAACTAACAACACTGGCTGAAAGGAAGTCCTGGTGTGGTGCTAAGGGTTAATGAGCTGAACTGTAAAGTCGTTTGAACCTCAGTGTCAGCGGTTCTAGTTCACTAGCTGCTCTTTGGAAACCCAATACAGAGTTGCTATGGATCAGAACCAACTCTTTGGCACTTAACAACAACAATGGCTGAAAAAGGAGCCATCCTTTTGTTGTGGTGCGATGGTTAAGGGCTCAACTATTAACTGAAAGGTCAGTGGTTTGAGCCCACCAAACACTATGGTAGAGAGACGTGGCAGTCAGCTTCCAGAAAGATTACAGTCTCGACGGAACCCTGTGAGGCAGTTCTAGACTGTCCCATAGAGTCACTATGAATTGCGGTCAACTCAAGGGCAGGAGGTTAGGATTTGGGTTTAGTGGCAGAATCACAGCAGCCAGAACACAAGTCAAAAGTCACAGTGAAATGTTCATTTAAAAAAGGAGAGCCAGTAGCTTTTGAGCTTAGTCCACAGTCATCAACTTGTGATATGATTTTAAAAATTAGAAGAAAAAAAACACCTGCTTACCTGATCCCTGAGGTTGTTAGATCTAAAATACCCTATTCCCCAGATTGAATAATCAACGGAATTGGTTAAAAACCCTTCGCAGAAAGATCAATGGAAACCCATCTCCAATGTGAAAAAATGAACTGCCATCAACAAGCCAACGAGAAGGATATCCACCAGCACAGGGCAGTGTCTAGGAAAGCCAAGGGGATAAAGGCCAAGGAAGCAAGATCAGTCTGGGCCTGCAGACAAAGAAAAAGAGGTGGTGAAAAAGAGAGGCTGACAGAGCACAGAGCAGAAACCAGCATACAATTCTGCATTTATATAATCATCTGGATTGGTTTTGCATTTGACTGAAAGAAAACAAAAGGACCAACATTGGCACTGACAGCATTCTTCCCACCTGGAAAACCAACACTTAGAATATATAGCTATAAACATTTCACACAAATCTCAATACAATTAAGCATGCTGCTAGCCAATATAAAGCAACTACCATAAAACTCCTAGGGAACTAAGTAAGATCCATAAGAAGAGCCGGCCACACCAAAACCTGTCAATAATCAAAACCCCATCCCAAGAATAGTTTCCCATCAGTGAAATTTTGGGAACTAGTCTAAAAAAGACTCTTATGTATATGTGTGTGTATATATATATAAAATATATTTTTCTTTTAAGAACAAATTATGACATCATTGACACATGAAAAAAATTTTTCCCAAAATTATATGATAAAATTTTTCAAATAAAAGTTCACCCCAACATAAAATATACGGCAATTTATCTGTTCCCCAAACTATGCCGTTTGTTTTCACAAGGGTAGCTAGAAGATGGTATTATATCACCAGTGACCAAGTGACCAGGGCATTATGAAAGGATATCCATAAAATAATACAGGCATCAATTGCTGAGAGGGCCAGGCTTACTATCAGAGCCAAAAGATAAGCAAAGTACTATAGCAGACGAGGAAGGAAAACAAAATTGACAGAAGGTTAAATGCTAGCTAAAAGTTCACAGAAATTACTAATAGAGGACACTGAGATTTGAAATAAATTTCTATCTAATTGAATGTTTCACTTAAGAGGCAATTTATTGTAAAACTTTTTGAGCCCAGTTTTCTTGAAAACAAAACCAAGTTTACAGCATTTACTACCTTGGATCTAATGGCCTGTTCCAGTGTCTAATTACAAAACAATTAAGAGAAAAATTGGACCAGGAGAGGAAAACCTAACTTCTAGCTCCAACAAATTCTTTGTTCTTGGGAAAGGGAATAATTATGTAATTCATGTGAAACTTTAATTATTGCATTTTAACAAAAGCTTTGAAACCCAAGTGCTGATTAAGCAAAGATTAAAACAAAATTTGTATTTTAAAACAAAAATTAGATTTAACAAGTACATGATTCCAATATTTGTCACTCATACAAGAATGAGAGTCCAGAGCCTGAAAAAAGGAACTAAATAATTATCAATTATGAGATAGGTGGGAAGCATTGATTCCCCAGTCACACATTAAATTTTAAAGCTCTAACGGAGAGATTAAAAAGGAAAAACTAATCATACCTACATTTTAAAAATCAGCTCAAAAGATGAAATTAGAGGAAACAGCAAAGAAGCTGACAGAGCCTTCCAACCCACCCTCTTAAAACAAAAACAATATATTTGAACTGAACACAAAAATTCAGATTAAGCAGTACTGACCCCGGTAACTCTGAGGACCCCTTCCATGCCAGAGAACAAAAGATAGAGGGCTCCTGCTACCACAACCTTGTGAAGAGTAACTCCAAGACGAGGCCTGAAGAGAAAGCAAAGCGATAGTTGAGTACAAATGAGACAAGACTAGCTAAGAAACAGGAACTCATGTTAATTTATACAGATGAGCAATTTACAGAGATAAAGACACAGTTGATTCACCTGGGTGGAGGGAAGAACTTATAAAAGCTTAGGGTCTTGAGCAAGATAATAAATTCTATTTAATCTGGTCCCATGTCACTACCTTTTAAAACAAATTGTTTATTATGGAGAATTCTGAACTAAAATTACTATTGCTGTTGCTAAGTGCCATCGAGCTGGTTCCAACTCACAGCGACCCTGTACAGGGTTTCCAAGGAGCAGCTGGTGGGTTAGACTTGCCAACCTTGTGGTTCACAGTCCAATGCTGATGCTGCTGTGCCACACCATACTACACTACTATAAATTACTATTACTATTAACAAAATACCAAAAAATATATGTAATGAATCTCCATATACCCATCATTCAGACCTAACAATCATCAACCTATTGCCAATTCTATTTCTTACCCTTCCATATTATCTTGAAGCAGACCCCAAAGATAACCATATTGTTCTTGGATCAGACTTCGTAGTGAGTGACCCTTATGTATAACAGAAGGAAACAGTTCCTGGTCCAGTACCATCCTCACAATAGATGCTACGTTTGACTCTACTGTTGCCACCACTGGGACAATCCATTTCATTGGAGGTCTTCTTTTTACTGACCTTTCTACTTTACCAGGTATGATGTTCTTCTCCTGGGACTGAATGGTCCCTGCTGATAACATGTCCAAAGCACTTGAGAAAAAAAACTCACTTTCATCACTTCTAAGGAACATTCTGGAGGTACTTCTTCTCAAACAGCTTTGTTCTTCTGAGAGACCAGGGTATATTTGATATTCTTCACCATAATTCAAAGGCATTAGTTCTTCAGGCTTCCTTATTCATTGTCCAGCTTTCAAATATGTATGAGTTGACTGAAAATACCATAGCTTGGTCAGGTGTACCTTAGTTTCAAAGTGGCATCTTTGCTTTTTAACCTTTAAAGAGGTCTTTTACAGCACATATACCCAATGTAAAACATCATTTGACTTCCTGACTGCTGCTTCCATGGGCATTGGTTATGGCATTGGTTGTGAACTTCAATCTTCTCTCCAGTTATGTTACTTACTGATCCAACTGGGAAGATTTTTGTTTTCTTTAGCTGAGGTGTAATCCATACTAAATGCTGTATTCTTTGATCTTCAGCAGTACGTGCTTCAAGTCCTCTGATTTCAGAAAGCAAAGTTGTCACATGCATATTGCAGGATGTTAATGAGTTTTCCTCCAATCCAGATGCCATTCCAATATCAAATATAAGACTTTTCATAATAATTCCTTAATATTATTCAAACATCCTACTGCATTTTATTAATAGTACATATGAAAGCTCAAGCCCACTGGTGGTGCAACAGTTAAGTACTTGACTACTGAAAGGTTAAAGGATCAAATCCATCCAGAGGCACACATCAGAAGACAAGACTGGCAATCTGCCTCTAAAAGGTTATAGTTCTGAAAACCCTCTGATGTACAGTTCTAGGTCTACTCTGTAAACACAGGGAGGCCATGAGTTAGAATCAAAACAAGTCAACTGGTTTTTCGTTTATACAAACTTAAAATCCAACAAACTATGAAGTCTTTGTTTAACTTCCATTTGAAGGAGAAAAAAGTCTTAGATCTTTCTTGATAAAATTTTATGGAGTCAGAATCTATAACAATATCCTCCATTAGTATATTATAGTTTGATAAGAACATGTCTATCTAAGCTTTAGCAATATTTGTTCTTATTTTCTTTGCTATAAAATATACTAGAAAAGTTCCATGGTGCAGGCAGGGATCCCTCCCCCTCCCATGTATTCTAGATACCTAGGAGACTCCTGACTCATATGAGGCACAAGTATGTGTCGAATGAAGGAACAAATTCAAAAATTAATACCTATAAACACATCTCAGTTTTCTAAAGCCTTTGACTCTACTACTCATACTTTGGACATATTGTCAGGAGGAACCAGTCACTGGAAAAGGATATCATGTTTGGTAAGGTGGAGGGTCAGAGAAAAAGAGGAAGACCCCCAATGAGATGAAATGGCCAAGTGGCAGCATCAATGGACTCAGGCGTGTCAACAACAATGAGGCTGGCCCAGTATCAGGCACTGTTTCATTCTGCTGTGCTTAGGGTCGCTATGAGTCGGTACCGACTCGATGGTACCTAACAACAACAACAACTTCACTAAGACTATTCTTGTTAAAGTCGTTAGTCTTCCATGTAGTTACATTTACATGTATTTAAATCATTTGGAAGAAGTGAAGTCAGAATGCTCCTTAGAAGCAAGGGTGGTGAGATTTCATCTCACATACTTTGGACATGTGATCAGGAGAGACCAATCCCTAGAGGACATCATACTTGGTAAAGTATAGGGTCAACAGAAAAGAGGAAGTCATTCAACAAGGTGGGATGACACAGTGGCTGTAGCAATGGGCTCAAACAAAGCAATGATTATGAGGATGGCACAGAGCCATAGACAACATTTTGTTCTGTTGTATCTAGGGTTGCTATGAGTCTGAACTGACTTGACAATAACAGCTAAATCCAGAGGTCAATTATCAATCTTCATCTTACATGACCTATGAAAGTGCATTACTCCCACCTTGAAACATATTATTCAGGTTTGCATCCTGCTTTACTGGTCTGTCCTGAATTACCTTTGCTGTAATTCGAGTTCATTTCACTGACTTCTATCTATCTAACAGAAAATGTTCAAAGACTCAGTCCTTGGATCTTGCCTCTATCTTTATTCAAGTCCTTGGTGATCACATAGTCCCATGGCTTTAAATAACATCTGCTGACTCCCAGATTTAGAACTCCAATATCTTCCCCTCAATTCTTGGCTCATATCCATTTGGATGTCTAACTGAACTAATCTTATCCTTGCTCCAAACCTATTTCGCATAAAGTATTCCTGAACTTGCTGTTGCTGTTAAGTGCCGTCGAGTCGGTTCCGACCCATAACGACCCTGTACAGGGTTTCCGAAGCTGTAAATCTTTACGGGAGCAGAACGCCTCATCTTTCTCCCGCAAAGCAGCTGGTAGTTTCGAACTGCTGGCCTTAAGGTTCACAGCCCGATTCGTAACCACTACGCTACCAGAGCTCCTTCCATTCTTCCACTTTTATCAGACCAAAACAGCTGGCAGCATCTTTAATTCTACCTTTCACATCACACATCACATCTGGTCCATCCGTAGATTCCATTCTCTTCAACATATACACAAAACTGTATCTTTTCCTTCAGATGTACATGAGGAGGAGGCTTCAGAAAGTTCACAGAAATGGAATTTTCCCACAAACTTCTTAAAACCCCATCATATAGCTCCCTTACTTCTAAGATCTTTGCTTCCAATGTCACCAACTAAGGCCTTCTCTCCCCATCCTTTTAAAAATTGCATTCTCCACCTCCTAACTAGCACACCCTAACCTTTTCCATTTTATTTGCTCCACTGCACTTAGCACTGACAGATATTTTACTTACTTATTTGATTTTTGTCTGATTTCTCCCTCCATAAGTGTACGCTCCAAGTCTTTTACTTGCTGAATGCCTAGAGCCTAGAATAATACCTCATATATAGAAGACAGGGTATGGTGCTATAGGATAGGCAATGGACTGCTAACTACAAAGTCAGCAGTTCAAACCTACCAGCCACTCCTCAAAAAACACATACAGAGTTGCTATGAGTTTTAACTGACTTGATGGACGCTTAACAACAACAATAATATAGAAGATATTCAATACAAAATGTTGAATGAAAACAAAATTATTTTTGGACTGTTTCAGCAGGAATACTCTTCCATAAAAATTTTTTTTATATCTGATTTGCAAGAATATTTTGAAAGAGACCCCAACATTTTGAAATGTGAATGTTACTCAGTACACCCTGCAAATGATCCTTGAGCACTAAGTAAAATGAAACATCACCAAGTTCCCAATTTGTACAAACCTATGAAATTTCAAATATCTTTTCTTTTTTCGGACTTTTTTTTTTTTTTTTTAAATGTTTTATTGTGAATTATGTGATAGTTTACATGGGAGAACATTAGTTTTATATTCATCCTATCGTGTAGCATTTTCATTGCCATGGTTACAATCCCCTCCATGCATCATCAACCAACCAAAGGGTATATCCTACAAGCCTGCCCCTCCCCCACCTCACACCTCACCCCCGTTGTCAGCACACAGCACCTCTCTCTCTCTGGGTCTAAAGTCCCCAGCTGCTCCATCGCTCCATGTCATCGACTCTGCCTCCATCTCAGGCATCACTGCTTCTCTGGGTAAGGTCCTGCTCTCCACTGTTCCCCTTCATGGTGCCAGGGACCTCCGCTCCTAGACTGCAAAGTTAATCACTCCCCTCCTTGCTACAAAACATCCACCTTTACATTTCTAACCCTCACAATTAGTCCTGATAACAATTATTCACTACTGTATCACAAGAGACCAGACTGGATACTACTCAGTGGAGATTCTACCTTCCTC